CGAAGAACTTTATAGAGAATACATACATATGAGAAAACAAATGATAGACAATATGAAGGAAAATACTATATTAAACAAAGACGAATAAGAAACTGCATACAATAAATTTATATGATGACTCTGAATAATAATGTTTTTAAGACATGTTTAATCTTACCGTGTTAATATAAAATACATGAAAATATACACGGCAATTATGCAGTTTAAATTCCAAAACACGGCAACTTAAAATTTCGAAATGGCACCACTGAATCCCGCTAATTACTCCAATGGTATTCGACAAGTTTGCATCAGTGATAAGCTAAGTGCGTGTCACTACACCACAAAATCACAAATTCCCATCTTTAAACGTGCATTTCAACGAATATAGATCAGATAAGCAAGTGATGACCATTATTTATAACCGCGTTAAATACCCTTCGCCCCCAAGCTCGCCCGCGGGTGATCGCCTAATGACTCGGAAAGGCTGTGTGCGCTCATTTTGTACGTCATTAGTTTCAAATTCAGCTTTATTGGGTGCCTGAGCGATATCGTTAGCGGCATTAAAAAGTAGCTGGCTGTCGCGTGCCATGAACCGCGGGTTACAAACAGCCTCGCTAAGGTCAGGGAGTGCTTCCGCGTCCATTCTCAGTGTTGCGGCATCAATCTTCCCTGTTGACTAGGAACCAAAAGAACCAACGGCAATATTGACATTGTATCTCTCAGCATTCTATTTCGTCAAGTGACAAAAAAATCAAGTCCATAGGAAATATCAAGGTATGGGGGAACGATAAATTTCCTCTTATTGAGATTGGATATAAATGTAGGAATATATAGCGAAGCAACATCATTAGCTAAGTGGTTAACACAAGAGAATGTGCGTTATGAATAAGCTAGTTCATATTCGCAATATTTTAGCATACCAAATTTTATAAATGGACCTTTAGTTAATAATGGAGTGTTAATAAAAAAAAAACTCTTTTCCTCATGGAAGGGCTCGATGGCTCATTCGGCCTGTGATCGTGGAAGTTACGCAACTTTCGCAATGGTCGCTCATTAGATGGGTGACCAAAAGCATATTATCTGGACACGTTAAGCCGTTGATCCCGGCTGTATCTGAAATCATTAGCACCCACCAATCCGCCCTGGGCCCGCGTGGTGAGTCAGGTCCAATCTTCCTCTTCGATCCATAGGAAGGCCTGTGCAGCAGTAGCGACATAAATAAATTATGATGAATAAAAAATCGATACATTGTTAAACGAAAATGGTTTTAATATTTTTTTCCATACTATGTTTCTATAAATACCCTACCCAAGCTGATATAAAGTAATGTAAGTGGAGTCCAGTTGCGAAAATAACTAATGCGGTGGAAAAATGTGCCGCCCCAGGCATCTTCATGTACTGCACCCATCCTCAGCCCCATGGAAATCTAGTACCTTACACACCAACAACCACCAAAAGATCTTCTGAAAGATGTAGGTTTTTTCCACAAAAGGATGCTAAAATTCAATTGAAGAATCCTTTAATATCCTATATATATATATCGAATCGAATTTGATGCTATTTGTTTGGGGATATGTTATCGCCTAAAAACGATATTAATAATATTCAATTGACATACCAAAGTTACAAAGAACAAAGATGCAGAGAACAATTAGATCAATACATAACGAATATGACTGATAAAACAAGAACTCCGGCATATATCTCTAGACAAAGGAGCAGTAGACAACAAGAAACACTCGTAGCTTTATCCATTTTGAAACTAAAAAAGTGACTGTGGCCTAGATCTGTATCTTCACCAACCCCACTATGTTCGGCCGTTACCTGACTTGCAAGAAATACGGGCCAATTTCCTCGGCGACCTTGTAACCTCCGCAAAATGTTCCAGCCGTTAGGGACTTATCTTAGACGCTCGCACACGCAACGTATTGTGTCCTCCCCCCTTTCAATTCCAATACAACCACTAAATTTACATCGCGAACCTAAATTCTGTGCGTGGAAACAGGAGTCGACGTCGGGCTTTTGTGTATGAAAGATCAATTTCTAACAATACGAAATACGATGTAGGTATACCTATGTCATTTCCAAAACGACTTTCATGTGTATAGCTTTCATTTTGATTATAGCTTCCTTTATTTAAGGGCGGGAACAAGAATATCGATCGATACTTATATAGATATCGCAAAAGATCGCAAAGCGCGAAGCATCAAGAGTTTATGGTTATCAGCATCAAATAAAAAATAACGATTTTTCTTTATTTATGATAATTTAAACATTAGCACAATATTAGCAAATAGATGATCGAGACAACTTTGAATTGAATATTGGCAATTGCGCATTGGATGGCGCTATTTTCACAAAACGAGGGTGACAAAATATTGAATGATTATCTTGAGTTCCTTCACGCTTCGGAAAGCAAGTAAAATCAATGTAGTCAGTCGCAACCGCATCCGATAACAACTACCCGAATTGGAGCCTCGGAGCCGGTATTGCATTTTCTTCCTGCGCTCCAGAAATGGAGAAACTAAAAAGGCTCATAATTATGAGGAGTTATTAAGAACCAACATCATTTCGAAAGACTTTTAACAAGGAGTAATAAATCTTGTTCAATAAATGTTCCGATCAAATCTAAGAATATCTTTTTTCGTCTAGTGCTACGAAAAATCACGGTGAGCACTATTAATAACGATAACGAACGGCCGACCGCGCACTATTTGTCTTTGTTTCCAGCGAAGTGGCGGCTGCCGAGGACGCAATTAAAGCGCTAAAAAAGCTGAGCGAGCGCACCGCAGCGGCATAGACACAGCTGAATAATATCCTCATTAGGACGAGGAGTTACACAATGTCTCGACGGTCGCCACCCACGACACCGAGTTATGAGGACACGCTCTCATTCCCGACATCCTGCGGGAAGCGCGCCACTTGCGTCAACGCAGGACCTTAGCCTCGCCTCGACGCCGCGACACTGCAGACAATCTGACAGACGATTCCTCTGCTGAGATATATGGACCAGCCCGTTAATCGATTTTACCTTATAGCCCTAACGATCGGTTACGTCGACGAGCTGAACGTTATCCCCGCCGCGTTCAGTTAATGGATGGAAATTTTTCAATACGCAATGCCTATGTTGAGGTACCAACGAGCTTGTCGTTTTTAAGATATAAATAATTTCTTTCTTATCTTTCGCAGTAGCATGTTACTTAAGATAACATTGAACAATTTAATTTGTCAGCGTTCTTAATGTCCACGCTGTGAAAACCTTTTTTGTCTTAAACAATTTGCAAACTCGTGGAGGCTTTTTAGCAGAGAGTGCTTGGTTTATTTGCGACACAAAAAATTATGCATCACAAAAAATCTGAAAGGGCAGCATATCCGCTAACGACGCTGAAAAATGAGAGGCATCTCCTATTCAGAGATACTTATTCATTCATGGCATAATGTGCGCTTGGCAATACAATGTTGGCATGGGCGAGGAAGGTCGGCTCTATTCATATGTATGTATTAACGATGGTGACTTTATGTGACTACAGTTCGTCTATTTTATTATACAACATAGAAGTCGTTAGTAGAAAAAACAATATGTTGCCATGTTAGGCAAGGGGCAATGGAAAAGTAAGTGCTACGTGGTTTGCTACGTAGATAGCAAAATATTATATATCAGTAGATAAATGAAATAGACCAGTCCCCGTAGCATGAGCACCACAATTAATATTATATCACGTTTTTTATCGCGTAGAACTGTCAAACTCCATAGTAACTTGACAATTGAGCGTGGTAAAAACGCGATATATATCATATCGCGGTACTCATGCTAGGGGGGCAGGAGGCCTACTCTAATTTTTTTTTTACTATATTTCTGGTTCGTTTTTAATTATAATAATATTCGTGGTCGGTATATAGATTGAGGTGTAGACTTTCAAAGCCTGCTCAAAGAAAGCTTCAATTTGATAGTTTATCGTCCAGATTAAGCTTAAATTAACGAAATTAAATTACGTTTGAACTTGTTTATCCAAAGTTCGTTTCGGAGAAAGAGAGTAGACCCCCAGTTTCAGAAACAATTGAAGTGGCTAGCAACCTGTCACTATTCTTGCAGAACAACTTGGCAAACAGCAGTCATAAGTGGCGTCCGTCGCACGTCGTTTAGTTATTTGGTGTTGACAGTAACAATAAAAGCCGATCCCCTGTCTCATACTGTCACTCCTTTTATATTTTTAGTCATGCTGACCTGACCTTTTATGTGCGTGAAGTGGATAATATTATAATTTAGAAGAAACCCCTTTAAACTTCTTCGTCGCAGTCTCGCCCTGAATGCCGTCGCAGGAAGATACTATGGAAACGTGCCCAGCGGTCGCCGGCATTAGCGGCATGTGCAATACTTATGCTGAACGTGATTTATTGCCGTCTGGAAGATTCAGAGCTGCTATAAAACACAACCTACATGAGCCGCCCGCTGCACGGCCGGGGCAGCGCTCCGCGTGCGGATGTGCGGGTAACCTTGGGCGAAGATGAGCGCGTCTTGGAGCGCGTGCTACGATGTCCTCTGACACAAATGCGGATGCGCTCAATTGGCGCGCCGCTCGGCCGCCATCGAACCGCGCTCAACACCCCGCGTGCGGCACAGCCTCGCCGTGTCGCCGGCTCTCCTAAACTCTCGCACTTTTACGAAAGCTACAAACGATGCCCTGAGACGATGCTACCGATCGTTACTGTGTACCCTTATTGCTATGGCGGCTATAGTGCAGCACAGTCTGAGCACCGATCGCTATCGATTATGTAAATGCCGCCGCGTCTTTCCAGCGTGTTACTAGGCGCCAGTTCAATCAAGAAGTTGGTATGCAGTGAGAAGTAGGGTGAAGCGTTCATGAAATTTTACTTCGATAAAATATAAAGCCGATCTATTATTGTGTTAAAAGATGTCAATACCCTAAAAATATTTAAATTTTAATATCAAATCTAGCACAAATTGATCTAAATAACTGAGAATTTATGGTTAAAAAACTTTGTCCTTGTCCTTCAGAATGAAGGTCAAGGACAAGCTCTTTACCAAAAGAAAATCAATAACTGTAAAGTGGTTTGGTTGTTCTAATTAATTCACAATTTAGACGGCTTCTGTAACCATAAAAGAAGAGGTGTTCTCAGTTTCAATACTGCCTGTATTATTTTTCGATCTCATAAATACCAGCTTCGTATATATATCTAAATCTTAAGATGTAGAAGAGCAATTCATGTTAAACATCTCAATAGTAAGAGTATATATTTTTTTTATATATATATTTATTTATTCACGTAATTACAGTGGTCTGATTTATGTCTATGTGTGTATTTTTGTCTTTATCTTTACTGATTTGTCAGACCTAAGAGTATATATTTGGCTATGACCGAAGAGTACAATTTTGTTTAATTTTGGGCTGTTGAAAAGAGGAATTGAACATAGTCAATTTAAATGTAGGGTCAATACAATAGAATCTAATTTGTCACACCAGAAACTTATGTTACCAGGCTATGAATAAAGCAAAATGCACATGATAAAATAACTTTAAGAGTGAATCTGTGATAGTTTAAGTTCTGTAGAGGATGGAGCTTAATATAACATTTATATTTCTTTAGGAAAAAATACAGAAATAAACAGGCGTTTGGTTTGTCTAATGCTGATTGTGGGATCACCATAACCTATATATGACTTATCACTTGTACTTTTCCAACTCTCACCACATCCCCCCTCCACTGGAAATCTTAATCTAATAAAAATACAATACCACAAATAAGTAATTTTTTACTACATATGGTCTTTTGTTAAAGAGTTTTCTTACCCAGACTTTCAAGTCAGCGAGAAAGATAAAGAAATTCAAAATATTTATTTCCCTTCATTCTGTTGACTGGTCTTTGCAAAAGTTGTAATTAGAAACTGGTCACGCTACAATTGTATGGCATTTAATGACTAACTTTTTTTTTGGTTTAATATTTTTATATTTATTATAATTGATTGATTACAGTTAAGTCATCTGTTTTTATACAAGAAGGTACTCAAGGACAAATCAGTGATTAAATCACAAATTTAGCAATAACAGTGATATTTATTAACAAGTGCATCCATTGTAGTCTTTGCTGTACCTAAACAAAGATTTAAATTATAAATTTCCCTAAATTCTATAACACTGATAATAATTATGACAATATTTATAAATATATATTATGTCATTGATATATTTTTAAACGTTCAGGGTCCAGCCGGCTAAATTTATACATCAAAATATGAGTGTGTTAACTTTATTTTTATGAATTAAAACTAATGACTTAAAGTTATATAAAAATTATATGAAATATATACCAATGCTAGTATCTTGCCGCATCATTTTAGTTGTATTCTGATACACTATTACTAAGATAATAACGAAAATAATTCAAACTAGAATTCGAAACCTGGGGCGTGGCCGTCTTCACCCCCTTATTCTCAAAAAACATAAGGAATCACATCTAAATTATAACAAGTACAAACACTATACTATGCAGACAATCAAAATCTAAGATAAATGCAGGGAAAATAGCGTAAAAATCATAAAAAAGGAATACTTACATCCAGAGACTCCTTAGACGCCATGTTTCACTCACAAAATTTGTCAATTTTGACATTTGACGAAAATCGATAACAAGTTGCAAAGCAAAACATGAGTTTGGATACGTTTACGATTTTTATTCCCTGCTGCATTAACTTTTATATTATCAGACTTTTCGTGGCTTTTCCAGCTGTCAATTGTAAGAAATCAAACCGATAATTTTCCTTTTTTTGTTATTTACTAGTAAATGTGAACTATAGCATATTGCAGAAAATTCAATGTCGGGAGAGTTTTAGATGAAACGAAACGTAATGTGATTAAAAATGTCACTTTGACATTGTTGTGTTGTCAATTTTTTGCTTTTATTTGCATTGCGATTTCTTGCGACTACATTTCGTTGTCGTAGCAATAAAATATTTTTTAACTCAAGCAATTGTAGAAGTTATCGCACCTGAAATCATTATGAGTGATGAGTGCTAGATATTTCATTAAGTATTTATAAAGTAGAAGAAAAAAGGTAAGTAATTTCTTATTAAATTGGTCTTAACACTTTTCCGGCCTAAGATGCATAACATCAAGACTTTTCCTCAATATTTACATAAAGCGAAAAAAAATTACAATGAAGCAAACATCACCTACATTACACATAATGTCATCCATAATATTCTATTTACATTAAACCATAAAAGTAATTGTAATTAAGCTCTACACTATTAGATTTAAAATGCATCAATTGTTGTAGATAAATCAGTCATCATGAGGATAAGAAGATTATCTGCAGTGTTTTGGACAACATGCATTTTGGCATTCCTATTTATACTTTATGTCGTGACAGACCTGAGCTTTAAACTCCCCAGTATAAGGCCTGCTACTCAAGAAATAGATGATGTATGTATTTCTTTTTTAAAAAGAAAATATTTTAATTTTATTATATAATATTTTATTGTGTGTGTACAAAATAAATAAATAAATAGTTTACAATACTATACTATACTAATAATTTAATAAATGTAATATAGATGTTTACTCTTACTTTCCTTTTGAAATTTTGGTTATTTTTTGTTTAGAAGCAATTATTAAAAACACTTGACTTGAAAAATATTTCATAGATTAAATGGTCCAACTTTGAATCAAAGCTTCGTCACATAGAAGAAGAGCTTAACCAACACCATGCAGTCGTGGGTGAGATCAAGTCTGCAGTCGACCAGATGGTAGTCCAGTCAGAATACCATCCTCCTCAAGTTAGACCGAAAGTGGAACCCTTGAAGAATGAACACCAAGAGTCGAAGCACCTCAAGATTGACCGCTGGGAACCCAAGATTAGGGAATTCAAAGCAGTTGGTGATGAGCCCCCAAGAATGCGTTTGAAATTAAATATGTCAACATGCCCAATAGATTTACAAAACACACCGAAAACAGATGTACAGGTAAGTGATATTTATTATATAATGTTTTTTGGTTATCCTCACATCTCACATTATATATATATTCATAATGTAGACAAATTTCACTGGTATGGTTATTTTAAGAAGACTGAGAATTTCTCCCTAGGTTCACTGTTTGGCTTCATACTTCATGATTCTTGAATATTAGTTGTGCGTGCAGAAGATCTGTCACTTATCTATCTTGACATGACATTTGTTCCAAATATCATTATAATATTACATAATTTGAAAATTCAACACTACTGTGGCGAACCAACCTCCTTGTATTATACTTATAAATAATTTGTCTCTAATACTTATCATTGTCATGCCTTGTAAATTTGTTTCAAGTAAGTTTTCTATAGCCTGAAGAATACTGTGGTTAGTGAGATAAAATTATTCAATGTTATTTATTAACAACGCATTTCTTGGTTCATATTTATTTAGGAAAAAATGGTGTTTGCAGATGCTTACCATGTATGACAGGATAACTTTTGATGATAAAGATGGTGGAGTTTGGAAGCAGGGCTGGAACATAGAATACAATGAAAACCAGTGGAACTCCAGGAACAAACTGAAAGTTTTCATTGTGCCCCACTCACATAATGACCCAGGTCAGGAATACATAATATGCAATTTGTAAGATTGATTATTCCTTAATCAGTGAAAAATAAAACTGTATGCCATTAAAAAATATTTTTTTTGGCAAGCACATAAGCAAGCATAAGACAAATGAAACTACTCAGGAACATTAATTATATTATAAACTTTGACTAAATTGAATAGTCTCATTAGAATTATGAAGTGTTTGAATAAAATTGTATAAAGTAGTATCTATTAAACTGTCATAGAATTCTATTTTTTACTGAACAGGATGGCTGAAAACCTTTGAGATTTATTACAAAACTCAAACCAAGGCCATATTTACGAACATGGTTGAAAAATTGGCCCCTGCCGGCAGAAAATTCATTTGGGCAGAAACCAGCTACTTATCACTCTGGTGGACTACGGATGCAACTGACAAAGAAAAGGCTGCTTTCCGAGAGTGAGTATATTTAAGATAATTATGGTTTAGTTTACTGTAAATGCATTATATTCAATTCAACCTCATTAATTAACTGACAAAAAAACGGAGGCTGTTCTCAAGTCAACGCGTATGTATATATATATATATATTCTTTTTTATGTACAACCACACATAACTTTTTATTTTACATCAACTTTTATAATGCAAAGTACACTGAACAGAATATATGGGAATGTTGGCAGTCAAATAAAATAATAAGGTATTATCAAAAATATTAACTAAACCAAATTAAATCATTTTAAAAAACCAACTTGAAGGACTTTTGTCTTTTTTTTATTAATCATGTTGGCTTTTCATCTCAACATTACTATTACTTCCAATTTCTAGTTTATTGAAGTCCGGCAAAGTGGAAATAGTGACCGGAGGGTGGGTGATGAATGACGAGGCCAATTCTCACTGGCTGTCGATCGTGCAGCAGCTGGCCACCGGCCACCAGTGGCTGCTGGAGAACCTCGACTACACGCCCCGGAACGGCTGGGCCATCGACCCCTTCGGACACTCCAGCTCCCAACCATACTTGTTGAAACTAGCAGGAATAGAAAACTCAGTAATACAGAGAGTGCACTACAGGATCAAGAAAGAGTTGGCACTAAACAGGCAGTTGGAGTTCAAATGGAGACAGCTTTGGGGTATGTTGGATCCTGTAAAGAGGAATTCGTTCTATAAATATGGGATTATCCAAAAAGTTATTACATAGAGCTAGCATGCCTTATTATACATTTTTTTTAATCATAAAACATTGCTGTTTTGATACAATTTAGTATGGACAGTCAAGGTTTTGTTTGCGGAAAAATTCTACTAAAACCAACATCTTTAATGGCATGGGAATAAGATTCATAATTCATAGTGTAAATGTATCCTTTACTGTATCTTTTTCTTAAACTTCACCAAGTGTTTCTAGATCTTTTATGTGTATTCATTGATGATGAAATATTATTTACTTAAGCTATTAATATTATTGTAGCGTAGCATATTTTTATACTCTTTTTTACAGATGGTGCCGGGAAGACTGACTTGTTTACACATATGATGCCTTTCTATTCTTACGACGTGCCTCACACCTGCGGACCCGATCCGAAGGTAGGTTATGTCACCATGTACACACAATGAATTTATTGAGGTTTTGTTCAATTATTAGTTCATCTTTTGTCATATTAGTAAATTAATCAGGCGGGAAGCTCAAGTGTGCATTGGTTAAAGCGCTCGGTATGTGATCAGAGTAGCTAGGTAACTTGGCCAGTCATAGTATGAGTAAATCTAAAGGAAATTTTATGGGAAAAAATTCCACGCGAACCAGGCAGTAGATGGGACTCGAACCCGTACCCTTCGCTGTCCGGGCGAATGCATTGACCATTATTCTACCTAGGCCCTGATCGAATTTTCCGTCCGTGTCGAATTTTCTCTAGTATTTCTTAGGCTGCAGGACAAGGCCTTTTTCTAGTATTTTTTTTTTAGATTTAAACTTCTAGCAGTTAGTTAAATGCTTAAAAATAAAAATAACAGTATGGTCAACCAAAAATTTATCATCACGAGCTCCTCTGTGCTTTGGAAGACACGTTAAGCCGTTGCTCCCGGCTGCAACTATCAATCGCTAGAGAACAACAATCCGCACAGGATTCTACTCCGTTGCAACAAAAAAAGAAATTTTAATCGGAACATAGCATGTTTCCTGCTATGTTTTTTTTATAGATAGGTCTTACTAATGACTGATGTTAAGTTACGGTGAATTCCAGACCCGAAGATAGCTGGTACAGCAGTTCTGTTTCTTTTCTGTTTATAATAATATTCGTTCGCCCGAAAATAGATTGAAGTATAGGAATTTAAGATAGATTTGTTAAGACTACTACAGCGAAAAATTTAATTTGATAGTTTATTGTTCAAAGTAAGTATAACCTCAAATCGACGAAATGAAATTCCGTTGTAACTTTGTTACCGAAAGTTCGTTTTGGAGAATGAATAAATATTTCCAACACTCGCACCAATTAGCCTAGCCCTAAAGTAAGCACTGTAAGGCTTGTGTTATGGGATACTAGGGTAACGGATAGAACCTAGAGAAGACTGTACATATATAAGTATATTTATATAGAAATACATAATTAAACATCCATGACTGGAGTACAAATGCTCGTATTCATCACACAAACATCTGCCCCCACCGGGATTCGAACCCGGGACCTCTCGAGTCAGCGACACCATGAAACCCGGCGTGCAAACCACTCGGCCACGGCCAGGCCACGAGAATGAGAGTAGACCACCTGTACTCGCATAGTGGGTCATGATAAAATCAATTTAATCCCGTCAATCAATCTTTCTATTTCAATTTAATAAGGTAGGATATATGATACGTAATCTGTTCCAACATATTTTTTACATCTATATTTAAATATTATACTGTGATAAGGAACCCTATATATCTCCTTTTCCTTCACATTCACGTAAAGTCAATCACGTCCTGTCAATCAATATTTCTATTTATTTTTTTTAACTTCTTTTTACCTTTTTTGTAGACCTGTACTCTTAGCACGAACTCATATCGAATTCGTAACGTTTGCGAGTCCGAAATGTCAGTGTCAAATTTTGTATGGAAACTTGAACATTAGCGCCATAACGTACGTAAAGAGAATATATTTGACAATGACATTTCGTACTCGCAAACGATACGAATTCGATATGGGTTCGTGCTTAAAGCGCTGTATATAAATATTGTACTATGATACGGAACCCTATATATCTCCTGTCGTTTCCAGGTGTGCTGTCAGTTTGATTTCAAAAGACTACCAGGCAGTGGATTGACGTGCCCCTGGGGCATCCCGCCCAAGAGGGTTATTGACAAGAACGTCGAGGAGAGGTCAGTTTCATTATGTACTAAATACTATTTAATTTTGATAACTATTTTCAAGACATTGCGTGTGAGTTCGTTATAATAATGTTACGTGTCAGGATGGGGTTCGAAATTATATGCCAGTTCACGCTTGACAGTTCTTTATTCACCACTTAGTTCACACAATTAACACACAATATTAATTACAAAACACTTTGATCGCCTTTGGATTCGCTCCGAAATCGCTGTTAAAACTCAACTGTCTCTGCGCGGCGCCAATCGCGCTTATATACGCCGATCGACGCATTCTAGAAAGTACCCGTTAAATTGAGAATTAGCTAGCACCCGCGAGTACGAAATACCCACTTATACATACGCAGGTAACACGCATAACTTGTAAACAAGTGCAGATGTCGTTGCACTTTCACCCTTACGCCGCACTGCATAAGGCTCATTTTAGAATGAGCCGCCTTACTTGACCTCGCGACCCGCGGTGCTCTGGCAAATTCGATCTCTAGCACATTCGCGGTTCCGTTTCGAGAGCGTTTGTGACAATAGGAAGAAATTAAGGCTGAAAGGTTCTGCGTTGCGTTAATTATTATCGCTCAAGGTAAGGAATAATAAATTTTATAATTTTACTGCCCATTTCATACACACCTATAATATGGTGTTTAGTACAAAAAGCTAATTCATAAATAAAGATTTATAGTAAACTAGCGGCCCGCCCTCGCTTCGCTTCGGTGTAGAGCTGAAGTGTAGACTACGGTTTTTGTTCTCAGGCTTGTATTATACACAATGAAATTCATCTATGATTCTTCTTATACCTGCATGCAAAGTCTCAGCCCAATCGGTTTAAAATTGACAAAGTTTCATACAAACTTTTATTCCCTATTTTATCCCCTTGGGGGTAGAATTGATCAAAATCCTTTCTTAGCGGATGCTTACGTCATAACATCTACCTGTATGCCAAATTTCAGCCCGAACCGTCCAGTGGTTTGGGCTGTGCGTTGATAGATCACTATGTCAGTCAGTCACCTTTGAGTTTTATATATAAATCGTACCATGATTACTTATATCGATTCAGATTTGCTTGTTAAGGAGCTCGATGGCGCGGGTGGTTAACGCATTCGGCTGTGATCGTTGAAGTTAAGCAATTTTCGCAGTAGTCGGTCAGTGGATGGGTGACCAAAAATCTTCTATCTTGAATTCCTCCGTGCTTCGGAAGGCACGTTAAGCTGTTGGTCCCGGCTGCATCTGCAGTCGTTAGCACCCACCAACCCGCACTGGGCCCGCGTGGTGGAACATGGTCCAATCTCCCTATTCCATCCATAGGGAAGGCCTGTGCTCCAGCAGTGGGGACAGTAATAGGCTGATGATCCTATTTTTCACGATTGTAACATTCCTGTTTTTCAATTATTATCCCTGCTTAGTGGTATGGGCTTTAGTTATGTTTATGGTTTAGTGAGATGGTAGTTCTAATAAATCGTTTTAGATACCTATATCATTTATTAAGCAACAGATTTGAATTACTATATTTTTTATCTCTACAATTTTAGATCTTATCTGATAATTCGACATATACTTATTTGTATGACACAGTTCCCAATATTAATGTCACAACTCTATCCGCGATGCAGGGCCGGATTTAGAGGTCCAGAGGCCTCGGGACAACAGAGGAGCGGAGGCCCCCTCACCACAAATTATTTTCCAAATAAAGTAAACAATTTTTTTTCAGTCGAATTTTTTAATAAATAATTTAGATCAACGATTTCTGTTATTTAAGATTAATATAATCAAATAATCATGTATGTTAGATGTACAAAGTACTGTAGGCTGTAGGTAAAGGTAAAAGAGCAAAATATCAAAAGAAAAGATGTTTACTAGTTGGAATTTGAAAGATTTTTTTTTCCGAAGTCTCTATTGTGGGGGCACCCCGTTTGTGGAGGCCCCGGGGCTTTCGCCCCGGTTGCCCTCCCCTAAATCCGGCAGTGCCGCGATGTATTAAGATAATAATTATGAGGACTAGTTACCTACACAGCCATAATTTCGTACGGTAATCACGAACGATATTAATTTTCGTTTTTTAGGGTTCGGTACCGAAAGGGCATAAACGCAACCCTGTTCCTAGTACTCCAATGTCCATCTATCACCAGGCTGTATCTCATGAGCCGTGATAGCTTAAAAGTTGAAATTTTCACAGATTCTTCTATTTCTATTGCCAAAGAAATTATGCTACCGCGGCCCTGACGGCCGTGTCGAATTCTTTCTAGCATTTCTTAAGCTACAAGTAGCTAAAAAAACTAAATAACATTATAAATTATTAATAAAAATATATAAATAAGTAAAAATAATGTAAGGTACATTAAAATAAAATAGTTAATTCAATAGAAATTTGTTTATTACAGACAACAAAATGGTCCATTACATTAAGTATTATAATATATTTTTAAAGAAATTAAAAATAAACATGAGTACCACCAGATTCTAAGATATAAGTTAGATTGGGAATAACTATTCCTACTGCTACAAACATTCTTAGAGCTAACAGAATAGAGGTGTTAGGAGAGCCGGCTTGAAAAAATATTTCTGACACTTATATCTGTGACTTTCAGACTTGCAAGCCTTGCAAAACTTTATAAGCAACAAATTAGACAAGATATGGAAACATAAAGCCTTCCCCACATGTCGCGTGCGTTATTTATCGGTCGATAATATCGAACAGGAGGAGCTCGATAGCGCAAGTGGTTAGCGCGTTCGGCTGCGATCGTTGAAGTTAAGCAACTTTCGCAGTGGTCGATCATTTTATGGGCGACCAAAAATTACTATCTCGAGCACCTCCGTGCTTCGGAAGCCACGTTAAGCCGTTGGTCACGGCTGCATCTGCAGTCGATAGCACCACCAACCAATCCGCACTGGGCCCGCGTGGTAGGTCATAGCCCAATCTCCCTATTTCATCCATAGGGAAGGCCTGTGCCCCAGCAGAGGGGACATTAATAGGCTGATGATGATGAATGATGAATATCGAACATGCGTATAGCGATAGCTGTTTTTTGTACATTATGTATTATTGTAAGGCGACGAAGATACACACTTCTTCTTTCCTGCTCTTATCCAATTTTTATTTGGGGTCTGGCCTTCTTGTGCATTTGCGACAGGTTATTCTGTAAAGCTTAGTAGCCACAGTCAGTCGCCAATACAGGTAAAACACGCCATTTTACCCAAACATTTAAGCGGAATATATGAAAGAAGTATTTTTGAGGTCATTGTTTTATTGAAATACGCAACAATGAAAAATAACTTTTTATGGAGTTCATAAACATTATTTAATAGGGTATTTGACACGTTTCAGAAAACGATTCACGTTATTGTCTAACGTCTATGGAGTCCTTAAAAAGTGGACATTCATCATTCTGTTGTGTATTTCAGTAAAAATAACCAAATCAAAAACTCCATTTTCAAGTTGCCGCAAAAATGTTTCTCTGGACAATATGGCGTCTTACTAGTGTGTGACGTCACGCGACTGTTATTAAAACGATACAATGTAATGTCACTTTAACCGGAAGTTTACTTGTGTCTGATGTCATTTTAGGCTCCGCCAATCCCAAGCGTTTTGGGTCACGTGACAGTGGATAAGAAAACTATTATCTTTTTCGTGGGTTTTTAGTAAAATTAAGATTTTTTTTTGTAAAAATAGTAAAAACCCCTGCCATTATTCATTCTTAACACAAATGCTAACAATTGGCACTTTATTTTTAATACTGTCAAATACCCTATTACGTCGCATCGTTTTCTAAACCTTGTGAAATACCCTATTCGTGTTCCATATCATTTCTCACTCGTTGGTTATATGTATATCGTTATTTTTGGGCATCCTCAGGTCGAGCTTGATCGTGGACCAATGGCGTAAGAAGGCTCAGTTATATCGCAGCAATGTAGTACTGGCCCCGCTGGGTGATGACTTCCGATACGACCGCGCTACTGAGTGGGACCAACAGTTCACCAACTACGAGGCCCTCATCGACCACATCAACGCCAACGAGCGATACCACGCTGAGGTATAGTGACGCCGACACGACTGTCGTACTGAGTGGGACACGAAACTCATAATATTTATCTTAAAAAAGTTTCATCGTTCAAAGGTCATACATAATAAGGGTATTGCAAGTCTGCAAAATATATAGGGTGAAATTGAATGTTTCTATGAAACTTCGTGAGATTGTTGGGTTATGTGTATAGAGTATGCCTGTTTTTTTCGGATTTTTTTGAAGTATTTTTTTTTCATGTTTTTATTTATAATTTGTGTATTTTTATATCCTTTCCTCCTTTTGAGTAGTTATTCATTTTAAACAAACAAACTTACATATCCAGTGAAAAATAACTAATAAATAAGTACTTCTAAAAAATGGAAAAACATTAAAATTCCACGGCGGGTCAACGACCGACCGCGCCCGCCAGCTGTTGAGTGAGTAGGTACACAGAGTTCAGTTGACTCCTTTGATTCCACACAATACAATAAAGTCGTCTTAGATGCCTTTATTGAAATAATAAGCACAAATGTCATCTTCTCTTAAGCAGAGAAAAACTTTAAAAGTTAATAATAATTTTGTCACAATTAGAAATAGGCAAATGTTAAACAAAAAGAAATACTTATTGCAGTTCAATACTTGGGTGAAATTTATAACCCGGTATTCAAAAGTACTTACGATACCGATGTACCTATTCATTTTTTTCACTTAAACTTCCCGTATACACTTATTAAACCCATCAATCACCAAACCTACTTTCGTAAAGCCTTGTGGCTCTGCTGAGTATTCCGTGACACTACAATAACAACACACCATATGCAATTTCTTAAATTGAGGCCACAGAACAAGAACTAATCATGCCATTATTTGCAAATCTTCTCTTGTCACAAATTTAAAAGATACGCACGCGCGGTGGATAAACTTGACACTGCGCTCCCTCACTGCGCTTTGCACCGCGCATAGGTAGGTATTCAACCGATTCAACGGCGGGAGCGGTCATTGCTCCCGACCGCTCGTCTTCTGTTTTTACGTTTTTTTAGTAGTGCTAATTAGTTGTTTTTTACTTACTCTGTATGCGTGTTTAAAAAGAATAATTATTTAGTACCCAAAAGGAGATTAAAATATAACAAAAAAAAAACGAAATTTTATTTTAAATCATTTTTAAAAAATCCGAAAAAATTCAGAGATACTCTATATACGTAACCCAATAATCCCACGAAGTTTCATTAAAACATTCAATTTCACCCTGTATATTAAGTGTGTAATAATTTTTAAAGTGTATATTTAATATCAATTGACAGTCGTTAATTGATATTAAATATACACTTTAAAAATATTCTATGCAGAACGAATTCCGTAGAAATTAATTATTTCGAGCATTCAATGTGACTTTCCATACTTGCGTCCATACTTATATTATAAATGTGAACATGTGTTTGCCTGTTACCTCTTCACGCTTAAACCGCTGAACTGATTAAGTTGAAATTTGGTATAGAGATAGTTTGTGTCCCGGGAAAGGACACAGGATAGATTTTATCCTAGACTAAAGGAAGTCAAAAGGGGGGGTAGAAGTTTGTATGGGAAACCAATTTTTACATGCAGACAAAGTTGGGGGCACTCACTAGTATACTCTAGCACTTATCGGAAAATAATCGTAATTATACGTTTATAATTACCATTATTTTCCGATATGTGCTAAAGTGCAAACATAGCGGATTTCCCGCTCTAATTGGAGCGCCCGCCAGAGGAAGTAACCTTCACGAGCGCTCAAAATGTGTCCCAATTAAGAAGTGCTTGAACTCCACTTAAGCACTTTTTGGTTCACAGTCACGCGCGGACCGTTATAAAGCAAGATGCCACAGAGCTCCGCGACAAAATGTGAAAATGAAATACTTATGAGTACGTAAAGTGTCCTTTTTTCGACAGGTATCTAGTCAATGTTTGTTAATTTAACGCATTTGAAGTAAATTTTGATCTAACACTTACTATAAACTGATTTAATATAAAATATTTGTGATATTCAAATGCATGGTCGGTTATACGTCGCTATATAGCCGTCTCTTTTCCTCGCGGTCCGTGCCTGCTATATTGCTAACAGCGCGTAGAGTCAAAGAACTAAGGTCTAAATTCTTCCGCATATAGCAATAAGTCGTAAAATTTTACGAGCTTGCATTTCAAACTGTCAGAAGTCCTTGACGCATGCGTTTTATTTAAGACCTTATACAGTATGTATTAAAGGTTACTTTCAATATTTAAATAATGCCTTATATTGATTTTGACTACGCGATCACCTAACGGAGCTCCGTGGATCGTTCAAAGTACCTTTTGGACAGGTTTCGGGCACGATTTTGTTCGTGTTGGTGTATCTAGGGTATTCAATATCGCTGCCTTCACCTTACAAAAGGCTATAGTATAATAACACTATTATCTGGTGGTGTTGTGTTTCTGTCGGTGAGAAAGGTTCCAAGGCTCCATGGGGTAGGGGATTGGGTCAAATTCAAACTCATTTATTCAGTCTTGGCTGTTACAAGCTCTTGTGAAAGTCAAACGCTACGCCATCGGTTCGTAAATCTACGGCGGGAGACCTTGTACTGAGAAGAACCGGCAAGAAACTCAGCAAGGGCTATTTTTTTCTCCCTGTTTTGTTTCACACAGTGTCGTCAATTGAAAGATGACATCAAAAATTGAATACATGTGTTGATGTCAACTTCCATCACATTAATATTATTAATTAACAAAAGTTAAGTATAACTAGGTACTATTTTTAAATTTAGAAGTGGCGATTAAACAATTTTCAACCAAATTAGCAAAGTAAAACGACAGTCTATTATGTTAAGCCCAAGGTGACTTATCATTTATGAAATCTTTTACAGTATAGTAACCTTTCTTAAGGAGACATGTTTTTATACACACTTTAAACTTATTAAAAGGTAAATTAATTATTTCTTTTGGTATTTTATTATAGTAACATACACCTTGACCCACAAATGAACCAAGAACCTTTTGGTCAGGATAGGCAACGCCGCGAGTTATATTTTTGTTGTCGCAAGCGTTTATAGGCTATGGTGGCCGCTTACCATCAGGAGGGTCATACTCTTGTTTGCCACCCTTTTAACATTAAAAATTCTAAAGAAAAGTTTACTAGAAAAAAAATCCACGCAATAACTATAATTGCTATTTCTTCTTTCAAATGTTTAATACTTGAAAAAGTATTCATTTGACATTGTGGGTTACCTATAATGCGAAGAGATGGCGCTGCCTTACAGCTTAAGGCTAGGAAAATTTCGACGCGGCTAATAGGGCCGTGGTAGCATAATGGTCAGTGCATTCGCCCGGATTGGGAAGGATGCGGGTTCGAGTCCCGAACGCGCACCCTTCGCTGCCTGGTCCGCGTGGATTTTTTTCTAGTAAACTTTTCTTTAGATTTAAACATCTAGCAGTTAAATGCTTAAAAAATAAAAATAAAATCATAATTAAAAATTCTTCTTCGATATTTTGCCAAGTTCGGTATGAGGCGTAAGTTGGGCACATACGAGGCTAGGCTTGAGTATTTTAATATGAGCACCCTTCAATCCAGACGAGACATAGCGAATTTATCGACACTTTACAAAATTGTAAACTCTGGGACGTGGAGGATATGTTGAGCCGTTTATCATTCAAAGTGGGAGGAAGTAAAAGGCTGCAGAAACTTTTTTCCGTACCAACTTGTAGTAATAATGTTACCTACGATGACCCATTATATAGAATGAGCAGGGCCCTTAATGAAATAGCCAAAGACGTGGATATCTTTGCCCTTTCTCACTCCTCCTACTTACGAATATGTAGGAGCAAATTGTAATTAAATTGATTTTTATTATTATTTATAATTCTTAATTAGTACATGCATATTTAATTATTTCTTTTTTTAATTGTAATTGCATACTTAATTCTTATAATAATGATTTTTTCAAATTTGTGAGCTAAAATTAAGCAAATGTCGGGTTCAACATCAGTTGGGGTGCAAGTTTATGTAATACAATAATTTTGTATAATAATATGTAAGTTATAATTTGTACTCTGTCGCTGTACCATAAATAAATAAAAAAGCAACACAAAAAAAAAAAATGGGTGCGTGTACTTATGTAGGCGCGTGAGAAGTTATCCTTCTTTGGCATCGTTTAAAATTAGTTTTTAATTTAAAAAAAGTCTGGAAAAGGACGAAGTCAATAAAGTTCAGTTTTAATTTGAAAAAATAAATAAATAATCAAAATATTCAATTAAAATCGCTACTGAATATAATTTATTAGAACATATGTGATTTGCACTTGTATGAAACTCAAACACGTATTCCGAATATACAAACTAGAAACATGTGGATAAATATTATAAATATGAATACCTATAACTGTTACTTTATTACAAAAAATAAAGATGTGGTTTTTGGTTCTACTACACCAATGGTCAAGAGATGGCGCTGTAGTCTCCTGAATCGCGCTTTGGTTCGGTTGTTCCAGATTAATAAATACATTTTGTTACTTTATTACGAAAAATAAAGATGTGGTTTTTGGTTCTACTACACCAATGGTCAAGAGATGGCGCTGTAGTCTCCTGAATCGCGCTTTGGTTTCGTTGTTCCAGTTTAATAAATACTTTTGATAGGCCTTCACAATGCAGTCGTTAGCACCCACTAAATAGAGATTCTATTTCTATTTTGTTGGTAGATTTTCTTAATGAGCGGTAAACACAAAAGTAACGCATGAAGTTGGTCGCTAAAGCGACCAACTTCATGCTGTTAAAATTTTGTGTTACAGTGATGCGCGCGCATCTTAAAATTTCACTCTCATCATTTTTTCATAACGCGCCTAAAGAAGTATAACTTCAATAACAACTCGCAACCCACATCCCTAGATACAATTCGGAACGCTCCAAGACTACTTCAAGGCGGTGCACGCGGAGACGAAGCTGTCCGAATTCCCCGCGCTGTCGGGCGACTTCTTCACGTACGCGGACCGCAACCAGCACTACTGGAGCGGATACTACACCTCGCGGCCCTTCTACAAGAACATGGACCGGGTGCTGCTTTCATATGTCAGGTAATTACGACTTCACTGTCTTCACTAAATTATGGTTGAGCGAAGCGATGGCTGGTTCATGCGTCATGCTCGTGAACGGGTGCGGCCAGCGGAGATGAGTCTGCCCTAACTTCCTTAATATTGAAGTTAATGTTTAGTCACACTGAATATAAATAACACTATTTGTATTTATACTGTATGACACAGCAATCAAAATGCAGGTAAACAATTAATGTATATTTAATAATTATGTAATGAAAAGTGACTTCATGAATCACCTCTGAAGTCATTTTTCAATTTGACGACTCTGTAAATAATAAAACAGGGAGAAAAAAACAGCCCTTGCTGAGTTTCTTGTCGGTTCTTCTCAGTACAAGGTCTCCCGCCGTAGATTTACGAACCGATGGCGTAGCTTCTAGACATTCATATGTGCTTGTAACAGCCTAAACTGAATAAATGATTATGATTATGATTACTGAGGCTTCCATCCATACATCCATCAGCCTTTCTCCGTCCACTGCTGGACATAGGCCTCCCCCATAGAAGGCCACAATGCGCGGTCCAGCGCTATCCGCATCCAGCGGCTCCCAGCACATTTGACGATGCCGTCAGTCCACCTCGTTGGGGGCCGCCCCACGCTGCGTCGTCGGTACGCGGTCGCCACTCGAGGACCTTTCTTACCCAACGGTTGTCAGACCCTCGAGCGATGTGGCCCGCCCATTGCCACTTCAGCGTGCTAACTCTTCGGGCTATGTCGTACACACCGGCCCTTCTACGGATCTCCGTATTTCGGATCTTATCACGTAGGGAAACACCGAGCATAGCCCTCTCCATAGCACGCTGCGCGACTCTGAGTTTTGTTACGAGGCCGACATTCAGAGACCACGTCTCAGTCCCATAAGTCATCACTGGTAACACACACTGGTCATAGACCCTTCTTTTCAGGCACTGGGGAATGAGGCTTAGGTCGAAAATATCGGCCCGGCAGAGTATGGCAAATTTCTCAATAAACTGTTTCGACTTTATTGAAATTTGGAGAATTCTACGAATTTCTCGCATTTTTTTTATGTAACGTCGAACGTTTTATTAGAAAAAAGACTTTTCTTTCTATCTTTTTGCTGATAAGTAGGTACTTTAGTCATCAAAGGTAAAAAAAAAATTAAGGTCGATTCAATGTAGAGTTTTGTGTTGGGCTTATAAATAAGTAATTTTCTTGCAGCAATATGTTGTAGAAATATATGTTTTATCTAAATGCCTTTTTTTGACATTGAAGCAATATTTGTATATCTAGACAATATTGCCTGAAACAGTAGCTAAACGGGGTACACAATCTGTCAACACAATAGCTTACAAAAACACACTAGTACCGGCGCCTTTATTTGTTTTTAAAGAAAAATATAAATGTTTAAACAACAATAAACCCTTGAATATAGCAATCAATGACGTGACGGCACTCACGGCAAACTTCACTTCATGAAGAAAATGATAATAGGGTATTTGACAGTATTAAAAATAAAGTGCCAATTGTTAGCATCTGTGCTTAGAATGAATATTGGCAGGGGTTTTTACTTATTTACAAAAAAAAATGTTCATAATTTTACCAAAAACGTTTCGTTTGACATTGTAATAACAGTGGTGTGACGTCACACACTAGTAAGATGCCTTATTGTCCAGAGAAACGTTTTCGCGACAAATAGAAAATGGAATTTTTGATTTGGTTGTTTTTACTGAAATACACAACAGAATGATGAATATCCACTTTTTACTTTGTGAGATCGTTTTCTAAAACTAGTCAAATACCCTATTATACCATCTGTCGATACTATTAATTGAGTGAGTGAAAAAATAATAATAGCATATCGACGACCTCTTTGGCTGAGCGGTATGTGCGCCGTGTTTCATGGTGTCGCCCACGCCCATCCGTGATGTCCCGGTTTCAATTCCGGTGGGGCAAAATATTAGTATGATGAATACGAGCATTTCTACCTGAGTCATATATGTATATCTAGATGTATTCTATCCGTTACTCTACTATCCCATATCAGAAGCCTTTCATGGTTTACTTTCGGGCAAAGTTAATTGGTGTGAGTGTTAGAAATATTATTTTTTATACATTGCATGTTGATATCGACCGCTTAGTGATTTCCGGCAAAGCAACATTGGCCACAGATATGTTTGGCTATATGCTTAGGTCATTAAAGCAATGTTCTATTGTCACGGTTACCCTGGTCTACTAACTAAGGTCAGAGAATGAGAAAATGAGACAACAGGATACCATTCAAATTAAAAATTTAATAAAAAACTCGACCCGGAGAAAATAAAAATTATACAGGTGGAGTTGAGCACTTAATCCACACAAGTTGTTTAGCTTCGTCGGTTCAGGTACTCTCCTGTGTAACGCCGGGTAGTTGGTGATCCCGGGAGTCGCGTTATGGATACCGCTGGCGACTGGAGGCTGCAGGAACGGGTAGCTGAGCCCGGCAGAGAGTATTCTCGTGTGGTGAAAGTAGGGGCTGTGAGGTGATACCGGCCAAGTTGGTATCCCGAGCGTTGAACCCTGGAACGCGCCATTAGAATACAATTACAAGCGGTCCAGTACTATTTTGCGAACATCCACGGGCAAACAAAAGATCCTGCTTGGAGCGCTAAAATGTTGCATCGCGCGAGTTTACGTATACAAATCCGCTTGATGAATTTATGTTGCATTTTAGTGTCAGTGAATAGTTTTATTATTGTAAATAGCCAATTTGTTTATTAATATTATTATGATTTGTAAATAATTTAGTTATAATAAAATTGTGTTTTATTTTTATAAGTAGTTTTTAGTGTAGAATTAAATCTAATAGTGTTATTATTTAGTTTTAGGCATTGTAAATATTAAATTTAAGAGTATTTTAGGGTAATAATATGATTATGTAACGCATAACGTTACACTATACTGGTTGGCATAACTTGAACTTTACTGTTTATTTTCTGTAAGTTTTCAAATAAAGTTTTTAAATCGTACCACGGTTTTCTTCAAAGTTAAGGAGGGTGCTGATTTGACAATGACATGAGCTTATCTCTACCACAAATATGAAGGGATTACGAAAGTATTAACTAGTAGAATTTGACTCCTCGTAATGCTGGTGTGGAGTTCGATAGCGTAAATGATTACCGCGTTCGGCTGCCATTGTTGAAATTATGCTATTTTCGCAGTGATTGGCAATAGGGTATTTGACAGTGTTAAAAATAAAGTGCCAATTGTTAGCATCTGTGTTTAAAATGAATATTGATAGGGGTTTTTAATATTTTTACAAAAAAAATATTCATAATTTTACTAAAAACTAACGCAAAGATAATAGTTTTCTTATCTATTATCACTTGACCCAAAACGCTTGGGATTGGCGGAGCCTAAAATGACGTCACACGCAAGTAAATTTCCGGTTACAATGACATTATAGTGTATCGTTTGACGTTTTAATAACAGTCGTATGACGTCACACACTAGTAAGACGCTATATTGCCCAGAAAAACGTTTTCGCGGCAACTTGAAAATGGAGTTTTTGATTAGGTTATTTTTACTGAAATACACAATAGAATGATGAATATCCACTTTTAACGGACTCCATAAACATTAGTCAATAAAGTGAGATCGTTTTCTAAAACTTGTCAAATACCCTATTGGATATGTGACCAAAAATATTATCGAGCTCCTCTATGCTTCGTAATAAGGCACGTTAAAGGCCTACGCAGACCGGGACGGCATGGCAAGGGATTTAAATGTTTACTAATGGACATTCAACCGTACCGTTACAGAAATACGACATAAATTGCTATGCTTTAAAATGATGCCGCGGCATTTAAAGGGATTTTATCGCACGGCATTAAAAGACGTGCCACAGGCTCCCGTGGCGGGATGCCATGGCGTACTGCGGTAGGCAACGGCATGCCACGGACTCCGGCGCTCGTAGTGATATACTGCAGGGTGCGGCGGCGGGGGTAGAGAAGCGGTTAATTCACCCTTTGGTTCCCTTTCTTTCCATAGATTATCAACCCAAAATCTTCTTCTATCCCTATTATCAGCCTATGCACCTACTTCTTCATCTGCAATAATCGATATCAACACCAAATCCCAATCTACCGTTTTAAAACTGAGGCACACCAACACTCGATCAAACGCAACTGAAGTTTGATCGAGATCGATAAAAGTGTATCGGGCAGCAGGAGTCGCTGAAGCGTGCTTTGTCGTTCCGCGGCACGCCGTGGCATAGTGCTGGAATGCCGCGGTATCTAAGCGGCCAGTGTGCGCTGACTCACGGCAAAATCCCTTGCCATGCCGTCCCGGTCTGCGTAAGCCCTAAGCCGTCGGTCCCGGCTGCATCAGCAGTCGTTAGCACCCACCAATCCGCACTGGGCCCGCGTGGTGAGTCAGGATGCACTTCCCCAGCAGTGGGTACATTAATAAGCTGATACGATGATGAACGCTGGTATAGTCGGTGGTATTTTACTTCAGGGCTGCGGAGATGATCACCGCGCAAGCAGAGTGGGGGGCAGCCGCGGGGATAGATCTGCCGGTAGTGAAGCGATTGCAGCTGCGGGACCTCGTGGAGGCAGCGCGGAGATCATTGGCTCTGTTCCAGCATCACGACGGCATCACTGGCACCGCCAGGGACCATGTGCGGGAAGATTATGCCAACAAGTGAGTACTGCCCACACTTCATTAGTGGCTATGTTTTTCGTTTGATATTTTTTCATGTTAAAAGGGTGGTAAACAAGCATATGACTCCTCATGTAATCTATATTATCTCTTATCTATTAGACAAGTCCGTCCGTCCGTCTGTGGTGCTGTTTCAGCGGCCAAACCGTAAGAGATAGATAAAGAGAATGTTTAAGTTATAAGTTAAGAATAGTCTGATAAGACTACAAACCGGATTTGAGTAACGTAGCACTTCCGGTTTTCGAAATCACGAATTTCAAACGAAACCACACAAAATCTCCGAAGTTCTCAATTAATTAAATTTTTTTTTTCAGGTTTTGGTGAACTTTTGGTTCACTGGTTTGCTAGTACATTATTAATTTGACTTTTATTTTTTTAACCATGTATTTAATCTTGAATGACGTATTATAAAATTAAGCTGACACTTTTTGTAATTGACTTATTATTTATTTAATGAATTTAAATTTGTAATTATTGATATTGAAAAATGATGTCACAATGTAAATGAATAGTGATCAAATTAATATTTGACTTGATTATAAATAAAATAAGTAACTATGATATGAGCAATTAATAGAGCCAAAATTTACTGGTATTACATATCGTAACTTAACAATAATATAATTAACAAATATACTATTATCTAATACTAGCTTAAAACAAAGAATATACTATAACAATGAACCTAAAACTAAAAACCTTATAAAATAAAATATAATAAATATAATGAATATGTATTAAGTTAAATAATGTAGTGTAAAATATTTGCAAGCTATTCATAGCTATCTAGGCTGAATGGGCCGAAGTCCAAAATTGTGAGATCAACAGTGTACCCTATTCAAATGCAAATATATACATTCTAATTCTAATTCTCATGGAAAGCGGCCATCATAGCCTAAAGACACTTGTGATGTCAAAAATATCGCTCGCGCCGTTGTCTACCCTGACCCAATTTCTATTCCCGTGGAGCCCTGCCCCTCTAGCATGACCACCGAAACGGGATATGACAAAGCGATATATCGGCATTAACTGTCAGATTACAGTGGAGTTTGACAGTAGTCTGACAGTAAATGCCGATATATCGCTTTTTCGTATCCCGTTTAGGTGGTCATGCTAGAGGGGCTAGAACCCTACTCATCGATATAAACATAGCACCAGCAAAAGGTAATGTTTTGTTTCTTCGGTTTTCACGCACATCACTCATTAAATAAAACTAGTTTTTTACGGGTTAATGCGATTCGTTGCTAGAATGATACGCGAGGCTATTGAGATTAACAAAAATTTCCAAATTTCAATAGAGAAGATGGTTGGTATATACCACCAGCTTGGGAACCCATTATACAGAGATAAAATCCCAACCCCGAGCACACACTGCAAGACCAACAGATACTATTAGTTCTTTTTGTTTGCATAATTTAACATAAGAAGGAGATAGAAAGCCTCTCTTGAGTTTGTTTCGCCGGTTCTTCTCAGAAAGGTCTCCCAATTTTGGAACCGGAGGTAGTTTACGGTAGTTAGGGTCAAATAAATAAACTCAAAATTACAAAAAAGAATTTTAAATAAAATACTTTATTAACTAAGTTAAGTAATAATGCTGCCAATTGTCGCGTGATTCTCTAACCTTAAAATTAAATTTAACATCAGTCTCTCCTTTTCATTCTGCATAGAGAACGACAAGGATATACCGCTGTCAAATTTAAGTTTAGGTTTGGAGAATCATGCTAGAATCGGCACTAATAGTGTATCGTGTTTAAGGTTAATAAAATTCCTTTTCTCGTTCGTTTAGAATGTTGACGGCGATCAAGCACTGCCAGTCGGCGATCCAGCAGGCCGCGTACCACCTGCTGCAGCAGCCTGCGCTGACGCAGCAGGCGCAGGACGACCTGTACCTGGACGTGGACGACGTGTGGAGGAACAACGACCAGCTCCCCGCCAGGATCACCATCGCGCTCGACGCGGTCTCCTCCACCAGGAGGGTGGTGCTCTACAACGCGCTCGCTTTCAGGAGGAGGGAGATCGTCACGCTCACGGTCTCCACGCCGCATGTCGAGGTGAGATCCACGGGATTACGTCACAAACGCTCTCAAAACAAAACCGCGAAAGTGTCAGAGATCGAATTTGCCAGATCACCGCGGGTCGCGATAGAGGTCGAGTGATGCGGCTCGTTCTAAAATGAGCCTTATGCAGTGCGGCGCACTGTGGAATATTTCGGTGTGTTTCGGATTAAAAATCTGTAACTCCGTCAATTTGAAAGATAGACTTATAAAATTTTGCTATAATATAAAGTGATACATAAGGATTCATATAAGTAATGTTTGATGAATTGGAATTATGCGTATTTTTTTTAATTAAAAAAGAAAAGTCACAAAATGATTTAATATAGTATTATTAGTATTATTTATTTATTGAAATATTTTTTAGAAACATATTGTACGTCTATTTCTTAATGCTAATTACTCTATTAAGATAACTATCATATTATATTGATAATATAAAATTAAAAATGGTAAAATATTTTTAACACTACGCTAACATACAGAAACAAATCAAAATTATCGCAATATATATTTCTTTTTTTTTTGCTCAGCAAGATTGACATCTTATACCCGGTGAGCTTCAGGATCTGAAATAAGTTCATTAACCTTGAGAAGGTGTAAAGTATCTTCATCGAGCTCCTTTACATTTTTTGCATATGGTTTTCTTATGCTCGTTATATATGGATCTGAAGTGTAAAGTAGTGTATTAAACACATCTTCGTTTGTAGCTATTCGAAAGCATTTCCGAGCATGGTGTAAGCGAAATTTTTTATAGTCCTTATTGCGAGATTCTTGAGCATCTTCTGAAAGTTGCCCAATTGGTAATACCTCAAGAATAAAATGTACCACAAACTATTGATAATAAAAGTAAACTACGAAACCGCATTTGATATCGATTTCTGTTCCCAAACTAGTATTCGATTTTTTCACATATCTCCGAAAACCGCAAAAAGCCGCAGCTAATTTTTTTATATGTTTTAGATGAGTAACTAACCTATAATTTAACATTAAATTCAAAGCATCGGTAAACAACTCTAAATGTTAAAAGATTCGACGAAGTTGAGAAAACAAAAATATTTCTCCATTTTTTCTTTAAATTGGTTTTTAAATTTATATTCGTATTAAAAACAATCAATTGTATTTATTTCTAACCTCTGATAAATGTGCTTTTCAAAAATATATAATACCTTATACCTTACATTTCAAGTTTTAAAACTATTTCACGTTGAAAAACGTAAATGAAGAACTTAATATTTCCCAGCTGCCTAAACGTTTAACTTTGCTACATGAAAAAAAATACTTTTACGAAATAAAATATGAATTACGCTGCAGAATATTAAACTTCGACTTTTGAACTATTAAATTATATTCATATATTATCCAATTTCAATCAGTAATAAAAATCAATTTTGATATGCGTTTGTTCTACCATACTCCACCGTGCGGCGTAAGGGAGAAAGTGCAACGGCATCTGCACTTGTTTACAAGTTATGCGCGTTACCTGCGTAGGTATAAGCGGGTATTTCGTACTCGCGGGTGCTAGGTAATTCTCAATTTAACAGGTACTTTCTAGAATGCGTCGATCGGCGTATATAAGCGCGATTAGCGCCGCGCAGAGACAGTTGAGTTTCAACAGCGATTTCGGAGCGAATCCAAAGGCGGTCAAAGTGCAACAAAAGTGTTCAAGTGAGATTGTTTAGAGACTTGTATAGTGAAATACAGTGTTTAATGAGTGTTTTGTAATTGACATTTCGTGTTAATTGTGTGAACTGTGTGGTGAATATAGAACTGTCAAGCGTGAACTGGCATATAATTTCGAACCCTCATCCCGACACATAACAATGTCGCCCTGCTGGGGCACCCGCCTGAACCTATGGGTAGAATCCATATTCTAGCCCCATGGCTAACCACGCGGGCCTTGTGCGGATTGGTGGGTGCTAACGACGGATGCAGCCGGGACGGACGGCTTAACATGCCTTCCGAAGCTCGTAAGATGAGAGACAGTAAATTTTTGGTCACCCATCCAATGGCCGATCACTGCGAATGTTACTTAAGTTCAGCTATTGCAGCCGAACGCGCTAACAACTTACGCCATCGAGCTCCTCGCAAACCTGCACCTGCTTAAATATAACCTCATGTTAAATGGTAGGCTGAAATTCTACGAGCGTCACACGCGACAATATCTTAAAGGTTTTAACTTTGTGGGATTATTGGGATACTTGTACAGAGTATGCCTGATTTTTGTCGGATTTTTTGAAGTATTTTGTTTTTCATGTATTTATTTATAATTTGTGTATTTTTATGTCCCTTCCTCCCTCCTTTTGAGTAATTATTCATTTTAAACACGCATACTTACATATTCAGAGAAAAACAACTATAATAAATAAGCACTACTGAAAAACCGAAAAGCAGTAAAATTAAGCAGCTGACGCGACTCCTTTCATTCCACACACTACAATAGAATCGTCTTAGATACTAAATTTATTGAAATAATAAGCACAAATGTCATCTTCTCTTAAGCAGAGAAAAACTTTGTTTAGATTAGAAATAGGCAAATGTTAAGGAAAACCAAATACTTATTACAGTTAAATACTTGGGTCAGAATGAAATTTTTAAAAAGGTATTCAAAAGTACTTACGAGACCGATGTATCTATTTTTTTTTTCCACTGTAACTTCCCGTATACACTTTGTAAAAAGAATCAATCACCCAAACCTACTTTCGTAAAGCCTTGCGGCTCTGCTGAGTACTTCTTCACACTCGCAACAACAATACATCATGTCCAAATTCTTATATCGAGGACACAGAACAAGAACTAATCAAGGCATAATTTTCAAATCTTGTCTTGTCACAAAGTTAAAAGATACGCACGCGCGATGGATAGACTTGAGACTGCGCTCGCTCACTGCGCTTTTCATAGGTAGGTAGGTAAGTATTCAACAACGGGAGCGGTCATTGCTCCCGGCCGGCCGTCTTCTGTTTTTCCGTTTTTTTAGTAGTGCTTATTTATTAATTGTTTTTTTACTTTGTATGCGTGTTTTAAAAGAATAATTATTTAGTACCCAAAATGAGGAAAGGACTTAAAAAATAGCAAAAAGAAACTAAATTTTATTTTGAAATCATTTTAAAAATCCAAAAAAAATCAGAGATTCTCTATACAGAGTGTCCCAAAAAATATTGTCAAGCGGTAGTCCCGAGATAGAACACCCCTTGGAGAATCCGAAACACCCCCATATATTTTCCGCGATTTTATATAGTTTGCGAGTTATGATTTTTTTACTAAAATTTTGTGAATTATTGACCTAAACAACTTAAAAATTTAATAAAAAAATCTTCGATACCAAATGGCTAATTTTAAGAGTTTTCCACCTCACTGTCTTTGAAGTCCGATTTTAGCAAAAGTAGCCCTTTAAGTACTACTTGTTTTAATGATTATGAAAGCTGAGAGTCTGGCACAGTTTTTAAACTTACTTAGGAGCTATGAAACTACTTATTTAAATTTACTATTATACTATTTTAAATTTAAAGTTGAAATTTTAAGACGTAATTCACTGACCATAATTTTTTCCCTTTGCACCTAATTTTTTTTAAGTTCCGTCATAGTTACGAAGACAAAGGTATTAGTCATTAAAGTACAATTCATGTAAATTGAGTTGCAAAAAAATATCTCGAAAAAGACATCCAATTTTTTCATTAAATTTTTAAGTTGTTTAGGTCAATAATTCTCAAAATTTCAGTAAAAAATTCATAACTCGCAAACTATAACAAATCGCGGAACATACATGGGGGTGTCACGGATTCTCCAAGGGGTGTTCTATCTCGGGACTACCGCTGGATACTACTTTTTGGGAGATCCTGTATACGTAACCCAACAATCCCACGAAGTCTCATTAAAACATTCAATTTCACCTTATTTAAGAGTGATGCCTACGCTGCTCCATTCCCCTATGCATTATGCACCGCTATGCACGTTATTTAAGAAAAGAAGTTCCACTTCAGATTTGTGGTCCGAGCACACAATTTTTTTATACTACCGTTTGTTCTGAGCCGACAGTCGGGCTCCTGCGTGGCGGTTACGTACTTACGATACGGTTCGTTTTGCCCAGAATGTTGTCATTTAGTAGTTCGTCCTCCCCAGGTGTTCGACCCGTCGGGCAGCCCGCTGATGGCGCAGGTGTCGCCCTTAGTATCAGGGGAGCAGAGGCTCGGGTTCGCGCCCAACAAGTTCCAGCTGGCGTTCCCCGTCGAAATACCGGCCCTGTCGCTCGCTACCTACACCATCTCACTAAGGGACGCGATGGCCATCAACAAGTTAGTATTCATATTCTTTTTCTTAAGTATTCAACTGCCAGATAATAATCATAATAATAATCTTTATTGTTATACACCATAGAAAAACACACAAGTAAATTAAAACATGATAAATAGAATGTACACAATATAGGCGGCCTTATTGCTAGGCAGCAATCACTTCCAGGCAACCCATAAAAGAAAGATAAATAAATATGAAGGAGATAAGGAGGGGTGTTATAGAACAAAACATAATGATATCAATGGCAGGAAAAACAGATATATCTAAGGAAGGAAAGAGAGGATGAAGTAAAAATTAAAAAGCTAGATGTTTTAATCTAAAGAAAATTTTACTAGAAAAAATCCACGAGGACCAGGCAGCAGACGGGATTCGAACCCGCACCCTCCGCTATCCGGGAGGATGCACCTCTCACCAATCGTCTTTCAAAAACAGCAGTTTGCATATTGAAACACTTAAACTGCCAATTTCACACGAAATTCAATCTTTAACTGCGAGTCGGTTCTCCGACAGATTGTTTATATGCACGCATCAAACATTCAAATCAAAGTTTGATGAGTCGTTTTAAGTAATCCAAAGGTTAAAAATTCAATTTGAGATTGAAACGGGATCGGCCGTTGATCGTTATCATAGGATAATTGATTTTCAGAAACTGTAAAAATGTCTACTCTTATAATTTGTTTATTTCTTTTAAAAGTATTTATTCGTTACATATAATAATTATGTCTACAAAGAAAAAGGTATATATTCTATGATTCCGTAATATAAAAATTAAAGATAACAATCACTCTATCATTCTCTACAGAATAAATAAAAAAAACTGCAGTATTATTCAATTTAAGGGTTTGAGATGTATGCCAAAATTAACCCCAGCATTAAGTTAAATGTCATTGTATGTATTAATGTCAACAAAAGATACAACAATTACAAATTAAGTATTTAGATATTAGTGTATAATGTATGTATTTGCAATATATAATTAGTTTAGATAAATCAGTTATTTCTATTTTTCTTTCCGCATGTAAAGTGAGTTATTGAGAATAAAATTTGAAGTTAAGGATTTGCCTCTCATCTTCCTTATCTGTTATAGTCATAGAAGACGCTTATAACACCAGCCTCCCCTTAAATGGGCACCGCGATATGATATATCATCATCATCAGCCTGTTAATGTCCCCACTGCTGGGGCACATGCCTTCCCTATGGATGGAATGGGGAGATATATAACGCATTTTTATCACGCTCAATAGGGTATTTCTCTCTACTTGAGAAAAAAAACTATAAATGTTTTATTGCGATAGTTTAGGCAGAAATGAGTCGGCAAGTGTTAGTATTAGCTCATAAAATAACAAAATCCTTTTTAAAATTCAATTTTGTTTTAAATTTTTTTAATATGTTTTAAAACATGACAATAGTACACGTAGGAGCTGCTACATTATACGTCACATCGCTAGTATATGTCAATATATCAGCTGTCAACTCAGTACTTTAACGCATTTATTTACTGTACTAATGACGTCAAGACCGCAGAGCAATATGGCGGTCACTGCCTCCAGTATTTTCGTATAACTACGCGGGAAATTAGAAAACGTTAAATTTAAATGCATTTTAAGGCACTTAACGATTGAACAAAAAATATGTTTTCGAGGAGCATATTGGTTATTTAGAATTCAATTGAGACACTTCGAAAATGGTTGTAATGCCTTATTGTCGTATTACTATGGAGTTTGGCAGTTAGGCGTGATAGAAAACGTGCTAAAACGTATATTGTGGTGCTGATGCTACGGGGATTAAATTATCATTGATTGTTGTGTAGGAAGGCCAAAGGGGAAGATCTTCCTCCGGGCTGGGTGATGGTAGCTCGGGGGCCGCGGCCCGACTGATGTTGGTCGGGCATCGTTTATATGAAGAGTTAGCTTCCGAATTTCATTTGCGCGATGTAGGCTTCCATACTATTATGATCGCAGTGCAGGTAACGCCATCTCTCGAGGATGGTGAGTAATGATTTCCTCCATCCGTTGTATATATGTGGGGCATATAGATGTCGCCGCCACAGTTGTTATCTTAGATTAAAACAAAAAGGGTAGATACGGTACGCTCATACTTGCATCAAACAAAAACTGAACCCACGGCAGCGCGAACGGGACGGCGAGATCCGCGTCACTGCATTACCGACCCGAACGAAACAGCACGTTAAATTTCAACGGCAGCGCGAACGAGACGGCGAGATCCGCGTCACTGCCCTACCGACCGATCACGCGACCAGTACTCGACGTCACTACCGAATAAGATTCAAAACAAACAGCAATTTTTATAAAAATATATATATTATAGTACTTACGAATGAAAAGTGATGCCGTGGGTTTTATTTTTAGTTCTTGAGCAATTTGAGCACACAATAACACATGCATTGTTTCATCATATAAACACAAAATATTAGCAATATTTCTTTTTGTCGTTTGCATGTCAAGTTGTGACTGAAGCGATTAGGGTCGTGGACCACAATTCATGCGGATCACTTTTATGAGGCTAGTGCCGTATCTACCCTTTTTGTTTTAATCTAAGGTTGTTATATGGTGTTTTGATGATACGCAGGTACACTTCGTACGCGCGCATACGTATCTACAACGCGGACTACTGGTCCGTGGAGCTGCCGCGCATGTTCCCCGTGACGCAGGCCGCGGCCCGGCTACAGGAGGACGTGGCTATAAGCGTGGCCGGGGCCGGGGCCACGAGCGGGGCCGGGGCCGGGGCCGGCAACAACACGGGCCGGCTGGTGGCCACGCCGCAGGGGATGCTGAAGGCGATGGTGACGCCGCGAGGCACCACCGTGCCCCTGCATATGGATTATGTGCAGTGAGTCTCTGTTTAATTCAATTCAATTCGTTTATTGCATATCCACAATGAACTAAAAGATGTTAAATATGTTTTTGACGTGACAACGTCTTAAATTAGGTTGCGGCTGGGAGTCACTTATGAAAAAGTGTAACGCTCGGTAACGTTACGATGAGTCTCTCGTGTTAAGTTTAAGTTTACATGTACAATGTTTTAGTAAACAAAATATATTTCTATAGTTAAAATTTGTGCAATTCTTATTTTCATTCAATTCCTTGTTCCTATTGTGCAATTTAATTATATTCATATCAATAAATATTCTACCGAGAAAAAGACGTTGTCACGTAAAATCTTCGCCCGTAAAACCGACTTTACAGGCAACCATTTTTTATTTATTTTTAAGCATTTAACTGCTAGATGTTTAAATCTAAAGAAAAGTTTACTAGAAAAAAATCCACGCGGACCACTTACACTTTTCTTTATATTTAAACATCTAGCAGTTAAATGCTTAAAAATAAATAAAAACATAACTATAATTGCTATTTCTTCTTTCAAATGTTCAATACTTGAAAAAGTATTCATTTGACATTGTGGGTTACCTACAATGCGAACAGATGGCGCTGCCTTGCAGCTTAAGGCTAGGAAAATTTCGACGCGGCGAATAGGGCCGTGGTAGCATAATGGTCAGTGCATTCGACCGGATTGCGAAGGGTGCGGGTTCGAGTCCCGTCCGCTGCCTGGTCCGCGTGGATGTTAAATATGACAAAATACGATCATTATGAACCCTGTCGAGCACGCAACTAAATGAGAGATAGAAGAGAGGAGTTACATTCAAATTTCTGTGTTAGTTTATATATTGAAAGAATTGGGTGCTCAATGTCACTATAGTTAATTTATATAGTACTAGCTGACCCAGCGAACTTCGCACCCCCATAAAAATAGGGGCTGGTAGTAGAAGGATGAAAATTTAGGGTTGTTTGTATTATTTAATGCCACATTATAAAAAAAATAAAAAGAAATAATAGGGCTGGACAACCATTATCACTTAGAGAAAAATAGAAAAATAGATAGCAGCCGATTCTCAAACCTACTGAATATGCATATGAAATTATATAAAAATCGGTCAGGCCGTTTTGGAGGAGTATGGTAACTAACATTGTGACACGAGAATTTTATATAAGAATGCTGACCCAGCGAACTTCGTACCGCCATAAAAAAATAGGGGTTGGTGGTAGAAAGTTGAAAATTTAGGGATGTATGTATTTTTGTATGATGTATCATAAAAAAAATTAAAAAAAATATATATCTAAAATTGAAAAAAAAAATTAGGGGTGGATTACCCTTACCATTTAGGGGGATGAAAAATAGATTACATCCGATTCTCAGACCTACTGAATATGCATATAAAATTTCAAGAAAATCGGTCGAGCCGTTTCGGAGGAGTTTAACCACAAACACCGCGACACGAGAATTTTATATACAGGGTGAAATTGAATGTTTCAATGAAACTTCGTGGGATTATTGGGTTACGTATATAGAGTATCTCTGAATTATTTCGATTTTTTTAAAAATGATTTAAAATAAAATTTCTTTTTTTTTTGTTATATTTTAATCTCCTTTTGGGTACTAAATAATTATTCTTTTTAAACACTCATACAGAGTAAGTAAAAAACAACTAATTAGCACTACTAAAAAAACGTAAAAACAGAAGACGAGCGGTCGGGAGCAATGACCGCTCCCGCCGTTGAATCGGTTGAATACCTACCTATGCGCGGTGCAAAGCGCAGTGAGGGAGCGCAGTGTCAAGTTTATCCACCGCGCGTGCGTATCTTTTAAATTTGTGACAAGAGAAGATTTGCAAATAATGGCATGATTAGTTCTTGTTCTGTGGCCTCAATATAAGAAGTTGGATATGGTGTGTTGTTATTGTAGTGTCACGGTATACTCAGCAGAGCCACAAGGCTTTACGAAAGTAGGTTTGGTGATTGATTGTGTTTACAAAGTGTATACGGGAAGTTTAAGTGAAAAAAATGAATAGGTACATCGGTCTCGTAAGTACTTTTGAATACCGGGTTATAAATTTCACCCAAGTATTGAACTGCAATAAATATTTCTTTTTGTTTAACATTTGCCTATTTCTAATCGTGACAAAATTATTATTAACTTTTAAAGTTTTTCTCCGCTTAAGAGAAGATGACATTTGTGCTTATTATTTCAATAAAGGCATCTAAGACGACTTTATTGTATTGTGTGGAATCAAAGGAGTCAACTGAACTCTGTGTAGAGGTACGTACTCACTCAACGGCTGGCGGGCGCGGTCGGTCGTTGACCCGCCGTGGAATTTTACTGTTTTTCCATTTTTTTGAAGTACTTATTTATTAGTTATTTTTCACTGGATATGTAAGTTTGTTTGTTTAAAATAAATAACTACTCAAAAGGAGGAAATGACATAAAAATACACAAATTATAAATAAAAACATGAAAAAAAATACTTCAAAAAAATCCGAAAAAAATCAGGCATACTCTTTTCACGTAACCCAACAATCTCACGAAGTTTCATTAAAACATTCAATTTCACCCTATATAAGACATAAGTGAAGAAAAATTCATTACATCTATATTAACAAATAATTAATTAATAGGCGGGCCACTAGTAAAAAAAAACTCAAAACATTAACAATTACTACCCTCCCTGCTGGGACATACGTAGCGTTGCCATGCGTCCGGATAAAGCCGGACATGGGCTTTTTGATTGTGTGTCCGGACAAAATCAAGGTTATCCGGCTTTTGTTAGGCTTTATACATTTTACACACGAGCGAGCGCCTAGTTTGGCCGAGCGCGAGCGAGTTGACTGTCGGTACAATTTTTTGTCGTAAATAATATCACTTAGCCCCAAAATCCTTAATTATATAGGATGTCCAAGCTTTTTACCCAAATGCTCAGCCAAAGTGACTGATCTGTCCATCTATTGAGTTTTCCGACCTGGCAACCCTAGACACATACCTTCCATGTGGATAGAATAGGGAGTGCAGTGTAAAAAAATATGGCGGGCCGAGTGACTTTTTCATAAGAGACATCTAATTCGTAAAGGCACTGTGTAACTTTTTAATAGGAGGATATTTAGAAAATATTATTTAATGAATATTTTTTTTATGACGTAAGTAGCGTCAGCATTTACAAAGAGTTATAATTTAAAAAAAAAGACTGATCCACCTTTCTGTAAAGTTATTAAAATGGCGTTTAAGCGATTTTGCTTTTCCTCTGTCGATGTAGAGATCTAAGTTTGAAGGATGCGTATTGTCCAGGTACTCGTCCCAGAAGTCTGCGGACAACAACAGCGGCGCCTACCTGTTCATGCCGGCGGGCAGCGCGACCCCGCTGTCCCTGGCGCCCTACCCCGAGCTGGTGACCCTCGAGGGGATATATGTGGCCGCCATGCATACCGCCCTCACCGCCAACAACGCCGCCAATATTATGCTGACCGTACGTATACTACCCCGAGCTGGTGACCCTCGAGGGGATCTATGTGGCCGCCATGCACACCGCCCTCACCGCCAACAACGCCGCCAATATTATGCTGACCGTACGTATACTACCCCGAGCTGGTGACCCTCGAGGGGATCTATGTGGCCGCCATGCACACCGCCCTCACCGCCAACAACGCCGCCAATATTATGCTGACCGTACGTATACTACCCCGAGCTGGTGACCCTCGAGGGGATCTATGTGGCCGCCATGCACACCGCCCTCACCGCCAACAACGCCGCCAATATTATGCTGACCGTACGTATACTACCCCGAGCTGGTGACCCTCGAGGGGATCTATGTGGCCGCCATGCACACCGCCCTCACCGCCAACAACGCCGCCAATATTATGCTGACCGTACGTATACTACCCCGAGCTGGTGACCCTCGAGGGGATCTATGTGGCCGCCATGCACACCGCCCTCACCGCCAACAACGCCGCCAATATTATGCTGACCGTACGTATACTACCCCGAGCTGGTGACCCTCGAGGGGATCTATGTGGCCGCCATGCACACCGCCCTCACCGCCAACAACGCCGCCAATATTATGCTGACCGTACGTATACTACCCCGAGCTGGTGACCCTCGAGGGGATCTATGTGGCCGCCATGCACACCGCCCTCACCGCCAACAACGCCGCCAATATTATGCTGACCGTACGTATACTACCCCGAGCTGGTGACCCTCGAGGGGATCTATGTGGCCGCCATGCACACCGCCCTCACCGCCAACAACGCCGCCAATATTATGCTGACCGTACGTATACTACCCCGAGCTGGTGACCCTCGAGGGGATCTATGTGGCCGCCATGCACACCGCCCTCACCGCCAACAACGCCGCCAATATTATGCTGACCGTACGTATACTACCCCGAGCTGGTGACCCTCGAGGGGATCTATGTGGCCGCCATGCACACCGCCCTCACCGCCAACAACGCCGCCAATATTATGCTGACCGTACGTATACTACCCCGAGCTGGTGACCCTCGAGGGGATATATGTGGCCGCCATGCACACCGCCCTCACCGCCAACAACGCCGCCAATATTATGCTGACCGTACCTATACTACCCCGAGCTGGTGACCCTCGAGGCTATGGAGATGTATGCCGCTAGTGGACGGGATAGAATATACACTTCACTCCGTATGCGCTAACCTTTTTACGCATTTTTGTATGTCTTAACTTTGAAAATCCAACAGCCACCTAATTTTTTTTTCAAAAAAATTGTATCCTATGTCTAAATACAGATCATAAACTATATGCTTACCAAATTTCATCTAAATCCGTTCAGTAGTTTTTGCGTGATTGAGTAAAAAGCAAACATACAAACTTTCATATTTATGATATTAGAAGCTTTCCATTAAATCGTTATATAGCAAAATACAATCAGGGCCACTAAAACAATATATACTGAAATGCCATTATCCCTCCTCAAAATTAATATCAAAACAAGCGGCAACTTGCGGCCTTACTGTAGTTTTTTGAAAACACCATAAAAACTTAAAAAAATCGGGTATAAAAGTATCTCATGGGTCAATCCAGGTCAAACTAAAAAAAAATTCTAAATTCAATATCGTTTATTCAGTCTAGGCTGTTACAAGCACTTGTGAATGTCGAAAAGCTACGCCATCGGTTCGCAAAACTACGGCGGGAGACCTTGTACTGAGAAGAACCGGCAAGAAACTCAGCAAGGGCTATTTTTTTCTCCGTGTATTATATACAGAGTCGTCAAATTAAAAAATGACTTCAATATGAGGTAACTCATAAAGTCACTTTCCATTACAAACAAAAAATGCAAATAATATAAAAATTATGACTATAAATTAAAAAAAAGATATAAGAAACTGGTTTAACAAAGTTTAGGAATGCCGTGTCCTACTGTTTAGGCAAAAAAATAATAATGAATGATTAAAGTATGCGCACATAAAATTAAAATATGCACACATACAATAACAAAACATATAAACTTTCATATTTATAAATTTGAGTAAGATTGGTAAGATAGGATCTCTCAATTATTAATTTAATGTGTCTAGGCTCCAAATATGATTTTGTCCCATTCGGTGTCGAGACCCTTGGTCCGTGGGGTCCTAGCGCTTTAAGGCTATTTAAGGAAATAGCAAAAAGGTTAGTCGACGTCACAGGAGACCGAAGAGCTGGCAGCTACCTCGGACAAAGAATTAGTCTAGCCATTCAAAGGGGTAACGCTGCCAGTATCTTCGGATCCTTGCCTAAAGGGACTCCTTTTAATATAGTTATTAATTTTATTTTTTAAGGTTTTTAGTTTTAGTTTTATTGTTCTAGTATTTATATTTTACTTATATATAGTGTAATGTAATTAGATAGAGACTTATTTGTTTATAGTTAGTGTATTTTATAGTTTTATGATGTGAAATTCTGAATAATCAAATTATATGTAAATATCTGACGTTACATTTTTATATTTAATGTGTTATATCGTGTTTAGATGAGTATAAGCAGCTACCCTGGCGTAGAAGAACCTTGCGTGGAGATCAGCAACACGATTCTGATCGACTCCCGCGTCGACGACATAGAGGTGGCATTGAGGCTGGCCACTACCATACAAAACGGCAACGAGTTCTACACTGACCTCAACGGGATGCAGGTCAGTTATAGTAACACTACATCATACTACCCTACACTACACAGTCCAGTTAATAATTAAGTTCTTTTTCAAATTCAAATTCTTTATTTGCCATTAAATAGGGTGGGTACATTGAAATGTTCATGTTAACAAAGATATAAAGGTAGCTTTAAGCCTATTTAGCCATATGATATAGCATGCAAAAGGAATATTTCCATTTATATTTGTAAGCAAAACAATAACAAAATAAAAATATAATTTCATTAATAATCCGTAATAAGATGGAAAAAAAAACAAATTGTATATATTAATATTCAATAGGATAACAATCAAAACTAATAGATAAAATAAAATTCATTTAATAAGAATAATATTATGAATGACATTTATAATTTAAATATTCTTCAATTGTGTCAAATGGGAGTTTTTTTATGTCATGTGGTATTTTATTGTATACTAGCTGACCCAGCGAACTTCGTACCGCCCTAAAAAAATAGGGGTTGTCCAGCGGACAAAATTGTGAATCTAAACCATTCTCAGATCCCCTTGAACACACACAAAAAATTTCATCAAAATCGGTCCAGTCGTTTAAGAGAAGTTCAGTGACATACACACTCACAGAAGAATTATATATATAAAGATTACATTACACATTGCGTAACTATTTTTTAAGAAACGCTTGGTCTTTGCATTTGTGTCAAGAACAAGTTTGTGGGGATATCTCAGACTTCTGGTAGCCACTTGTTTTGATTGTAAGAACAATAATGACCGTTGCTTCTAACAAACTTCGCAATTTCCAGCACATAAAGACCAGTAAGAGTCATAATTTTTAAGTTTTGGTAATAGGGTTTACATGATATGTCTGGTTTGATGCCACATAGTGATCTTATGCATCTTTTTTGAGCAATAAAAACTTTGCTAATATCTGCGGCATTTCCCCATATTAAACAAATACAAATCAAATCGTCAATTAATAAAAGTTACAAAGTTTTTGATCAGTAGACATTTTAGTACTGCTATATTAGACTTTATCAGCATGTAACATTATACTCAACATTATATCACTAAAGAAAATATAACTAGAAAAAATTCCACAAGGACCAGGCAGCAGACGGCACTCGAACCCGCACCCTTCGCAACCGCCTGCCTGGTCCGCGTGGAATTTTTTCTAGTTATATTTTCTTTAGATTTAAACATCAAGCAGTTACATGCTTTAAAAAATTAAATTATAATTATATCACTATGTTATATAATTATAATTTAAATCTAGTATCTAAATTAATAAATATATATATAGCATTCTCTAGTTAAGGTAGCTACACACATAATCGGGCCGGCAAGGTCGGTTCCGCACTATTTGTCGAACAAGAAAGCCAAGTAATTTGACTTCGAATTTCGAAAATTTTTCTTTGTTTTTTTTTTATTCCGGGGCTAGTTGAAAACCAGCGTCAGCTCTTTGAACTGACACAATGCTGAACTTAGATCCTATTTGGCACAGGCAGGCCATTTCTACCAAGTTTGCATTTTTTTTTTTTTTTTGTTTTTCGTAAATCATTTTTCTTTTGTATAACTATACATATTCCTTTAATGTATTTGCATGTTAGCAGTAGCAGATGTTTGTGTGATGAATACGAGCATTTGTATCATAGATGTTTAATAAGTATTTCTATATAAATATACTTATATATGTACAATATTATGTATTCCGTCTGTTCGGGCTGCCCCGATAAATGATAAGAATTGGTATTGGTAAAAATGGTATATTTGAGAAAAATACTAAAAATAAACTATTTGCTAAATGACAATGGTATGACTACGCGCGCTATGGTAGCTGGTTGATTGCGAAATAACTTATAAAATAATTTTGTGCAGATGATAAAGCGGCGGTATCTGGAGAAGCTGCCTCTCCAGGCCAACTTTTACCCGTTACCGGCGGCCGCATACCTGCAAGACGAGCGTGCTAGATTCACCGTACTCACTTCCACGCCGCTCGGAGTGGCAGCGTTACAGCCTGGAGAGATACAGGTACATTCTAATGGTTCATCGTCACCATCACAGCCTATAACGGCCGGATTTAAGGCAGCCCCCCTTGATAAAAAAATTAAATGTCGATGGTCACCAAGCACGAGGAGGGGTTGAAACCTCATGACTTAGGGGCCTCCATTCCTTTGCTGCCCCCACACCTCTAAATCCGGCCCTGCAGCCTATTTATTTCCCCACTGCTGGGACACAGGCCTCCCCTATTGATGAAATAGGGAGATTAGGCCGTGTCCCGACCACGCGGGCTCAGTACAGATTGGTGGGTGCTAACGACTGCAGATGCAGCTAGGGACCAACGGCTTAACGCGCCTTCCGATAGATCGAAAGTTGCTCAACTCCACGATCACAGTCCAAACGCGTTAACCACCATCGAGCTCCTCAATTCGAATAGTTATTTTAATATAAACAAATATCCTGTCTGAAACCCGCAAGATATATAAATGTAGCAGTAAAATTCTTAAAATGTAATAAAAACTAATATTTAAAGAAAGAAATATATTTACAATTATGTACTTAATTATTATTTAGAATTTCATAAATGCTAAATGACTTTGTTCACTTCTCCATTTGATTGACAATCTGATTTCCTTGTTCGACCCTGAAATTATGTAAGAAAGGAAAGTAATAATAACCTTGCAATAAATACAGGTATAACTCGTGTCCTTTAAATATTAATCGAAAATGCCGACGCAAAACATGCTGTCTCTTTCACACGTTAGGATAGCATGCGCGAGAGGTAAAGAATAGCTTTAATGACACGAGCTATAACAATGAAGTCAATAAGTCATTTTGTCAATTTTGATCTTATTTTGTGCAGGAGTAGGTATTTCAATTAATATATTCTGCCTCAAATTAACAAGTGACTGTACATTTTTGTTGACGTTGATGTTCTGCCAAACTTGCTAGTGAAATTGTGTAGTATGTAATCAGAGGCCAAAACGCACTTTAACAGCTCTGTAATCGTATCGTCAACGTCAAATTTCGTATAGAAAAAGCTAAATTGTTCTTACGGGCGATAGGGGGGCGTTGATTATATTTCATAGAAAATTTGACCATGCTATATGATTGGGGAATTTTCAAAATTCGTGCTTGGGCCTCTGGTATCAATGAGACATTTTGCCAATTTCAAGATAATTTTATGTATACCACATTTCAAAATAGTGGATCTTAAATTTATACGTGACCGGTCCATGCAGCCGTTGATGATCTGGCAAATGAAATTAGCTATTTGACAATATAAAAAAAAAGTATAAAGTTAGCACTTGTATTTCATATGAATATTAGCAATTATTTTACTATTGTGAGTGAACAAAAAATTGTTAACTTTTCTAAAGAAATCATTAAATAGAAATGATTTTTTGGTTTATGGTCATGTGACCGAAAACGCCTGGGATCCATGAAGACTGAAATGACGTCACACGCCAGTCAACTTCCTGTCAAAGTGGCATAACATCGTATCGTTTTTTAATGACAGTCGTGTGAGACGCCATAATGTCCAGAGAAATGTCTTTACGGCAACTTGAAAATGGTTTTTTTTTTTTTTTTACTGATATATGCAACAGAACGATGAATATTACACTAATATTATAAACGCGAAAGTTTGTGAGTGTGTATGTTTGTTACTTCATCACCTCTAAACGGCCGGAGCGATTTTACTGTTCATCATCATCATCATATCAGCCGTATGACGCCCACTGCTGGACATAGGCCTCCCCCAAGGATCTCCACAACGATCGGTCCTGCTCTGCCCGCATCCAGCGTTAGCAATAATTAAAAAAGAGCTGAGCGATTTTAATACAATTTGGTGGCAGGGCACAACTAGTATCTTAAAATGGTCTTCATAAGAATAAGAAAATAACGTGTGATCGTTTTAAGAAACTTGCCAAATACCCTATTATCGAGTATGCAGTCGGTATAATATTAGTGCGTCGCGATCAGATAATGCAGGACCGGCGGCTGAGTCGCGACGACAACCGCGGCCTCAACCAGGGCATCCTGGACAACGTGCGCGTGCGACACGCCTTCAGGGTGCTGTACGAGCCGGCCAAACCGTGCCAGGTGAGTCGCGACGACGACACCGGCCTCAACCAGGGCATCCTGGACAACGTGCGCGTGCGACACGCCTTCAGGGTGCTGTACGAGCCGGCCAAACCGTGCCAGGTGAGTCGCGACGACGACACCGGCCTCAACCAGGGCATCCTGGACAACGTGCGCGTGCGACACGCCTTCAGGGTGCTGTACGAGCCGGCCAAACCGTGCCAGGTGAGTCGCGACGACGACACCGGCCTCAACCAGGGCATCCTGGACAACGTGCGCGTGCGACACGCCTTCAGGGTGCTGTACGAGCCGGCCAAACCGTGCCAGGTGAGTCGCGACGACGACACCGGCCTCAACCAGGGCATCCTGGACAACGTGCGCGTGCGACACGCCTTCAGGGTGCTGTACGAGCCGGCCAAACCGTGCCAGGTGAGTCGCGACGACGACACCGGCCTCAACCAGGGCATCCTGGACAACGTGCGCGTGCGACACGCCTTCAGGGTGCTGTACGAGCCGGCCAAACCGTGCCAGGTGAGTCGCGACGACGACACCGGCCTCAACCAGGGCATCCTGGACAACGTGCGCGTGCGACACGCCTTCAGGGTGCTGTACGAGCCGGCCAAACCGTGCCAGGTGAGTCGCGACGACGACACCGGCCTCAACCAGGGCATCCTGGACAACGTGCGCGTGCGACACGCCTTCAGGGTGCTGTACGAGCCGGCCAAACCGTGCCAGGTGAGTCGCGACGACGACACCGGCCTCAACCAGGGCATCCTGGACAACGTGCGCGTGCGACACGCCTTCAGGGTGCTGTACGAGCCGGCCAAACCGTGCCAGGTGAGTCGCGACGACGACACCGGCCTCAACCAGGGCATCCTGGACAACGTGCGCGTGCGACACGCCTTCAGGGTGCTGTACGAGCCGGCCAAACCGTGCCAGGTGAGTCGCGACGACGACACCGGCCTCAACCAGGGCATCCTGGACAACGTGCGCGTGCGACACGCCTTCAGGGTGCTGTACGAGCCGGCCAAACCGTGCCAGGTGAGTCGCGACGACGACACCGGCCTCAACCAGGGCATCCTGGACAACGTGCGCGTGCGACACGCCTTCAGGGTGCTGTACGAGCCGGCCAAACCGTGCCAGGTGAGTCGCGACGACGACACCGGCCTCAACCAGGGCATCCTGGACAACGTGCGCGTGCGACACGCCTTCAGGGTGCTGTACGAGCCGGCCAAACCGTGCCAGGTGAGTCGCGACGACGACACCGGCCTCAACCAGGGCATCCTGGACAACGTGCGCGTGCGACACGCCTTCAGGGTGCTGTACGAGCCGGCCAAACCGTGCCAGGTGAGTCGCGACGACGACACCGGCCTCAACCAGGGCATCCTGGACAACGTGCGCGTGCGACACGCCTTCAGGGTGCTGTACGAGCCGGCCAAACCGTGCCAGGTGAGTCGCGACGACGACACCGGCCTCAACCAGGGCATCCTGGACAACGTGCGCGTGCGACACGCCTTCAGGGTGCTGTACGAGCCGGCCAAACCGTGCCAGGTGAGTCGCGACGACGACACCGGCCTCAACCAGGGCATCCTGGACAACGTGCGCGTGCGACACGCCTTCAGGGTGCTGTACGAGCCGGCCAAACCGTGCCAGGTGAGTCGCGACGACGACACCGGCCTCAACCAGGGCATCCTGGACAACGTGCGCGTGCGACACGCCTTCAGGGTGCTGTACGAGCCGGCCAAACCGTGCCAGGTGAGTCGCGACGACGACACCGGCCTCAACCAGGGCATCCTGGACAACGTGCGCGTGCGACACGCCTTCAGGGTGCTGTACGAGCCGGCCAAACCGTGCCAGGTGAGTCGCGACGACGACACCGGCCTCAACCAGGGCATCCTGGACAACGTGCGCGTGCGACACGCCTTCAGGGTGCTGTACGAGCCGGCCAAACCGTGCCAGGTGAGTCGCGACGACGACACCGGCCTCAACCAGGGCATCCTGGACAACGTGCGCGTGCGACACGCCTTCAGGGTGCTGTACGAGCCGGCCAAACCGTGCCAGGTGAGTCGCGACGACGACACCGGCCTCAACCAGGGCATCCTGGACAACGTGCGCGTGCGACACGCCTTCAGGGTGCTGTACGAGCCGGCCAAACCGTGCCAGGTGAGTCGCGACGACGACACCGGCCTCAACCAGGGCATCCTGGACAACGTGCGCGTGCGACACGCCTTCAGGGTGCTGTACGAGCCGGCCAAACCGTGCCAGGTGAGTCGCGACGACGACACCGGCCTCAACCAGGGCATCCTGGACAACGTGCGCGTGCGACACGCCTTCAGGGTGCTGTACGAGCCGGCCAAACCGTGCCAGGTGACCACATACTATCTGATTAATATCATTTTCATTTCACGCAGCAGACGGAACTCGATACCCTCACCTTCCGCTATACGGGCGAATGCACTAAACATTATGCTATCGCAGCCCTGACAGCCGTGTCAAATTTTCTCTAATATTTCTTAGACTGCAAGGCAGCGCCATCTCTTCGCATTATAGGTAACCCACAATGTCAAATGAAAATCTCTACGAGTATTAAACATTTGAAGGAAAAAATTGCAATTATATTTTTATTTTTTAAGTATTTAACTGCCAGATGTTTCAATCTAAAATCAGCATAATTACCAGTGGATTCGTCCGGATAGCGAAGGGTGCGGATTCGAGTGCCGTCTGTTGCCTGGCCCGCGTGGTTTTTTTTTTCATTATAATAAATCCCTTGTTAATTTTACAATTTTTATCATAAACATAACAGAATTCTTAGTTTCAAAATTAACAAGCGTACGTAAACAAGATTACGGCAAGATTATACCATCTAAATAAAAATAGAAACTGATCGACTGACTAACTAACTGAAAATCAACCCAAAGACTAAAACGCTAGGTCTAGAGACTCCGAAGAAGATTGCTCAGATTGGCCCAAATGTACAAAAAATATTGACATATACGGTAATTCTTGGCGTAATTTATTCCTTATTTTAAACTTATTGTTAGATTTTAACGGACACCTTTGTATAATATATTTATTGAAGTGAAACTTCTTTATCGGCGTTGGAAAAAAATTTACCGTCACATTTTTTCGGTTACGCGCCATCTTTTTTTTAAAAGAGCACTATTTACCTCATCCGAACAATTGCTCCTTCTGTCAACTTTAAAAAAAAAAGTATCGACAGCAAATATTCGTGTTTCACACAAGGTAAGGTAAGATAAGGTAAGGTAAGGTAAGGTGTAGTTATACCCCTTTAGTGGGTGAGTTTTTGAAAAATCTTAGCGCACGCCTATATATATATTTCTGGAAAGTTGCATGTAGATCATTTTTCGAAAAAAATAAGGCCATAAAGAAGTTTCACTTCTTACGTGTGTACACTAGTACACGCACACATTTTTTTGACGTGACAACGTCTTAAATTAGGTTGCGGCTGGGAGTCACTTATGAAAAAGTGTAACGCTCGGTAACGTTACGATGAGTCTCTCGTGTTAAGTTTAAGTTTACATGTACAATGTTTTAGTAAACAAAATATATTTCTATAGTTAAAATTTGTGCAATTCTTATTTTCATTCAATTCCTTGTTCCTATTGTGCAATTTAATTATATTCATATCAATAAATATTCTACCGAGAAAAAGACGTTGTCACGTAAAATCTTCGCCCGTAAAACCGACTTTACAGGCAACCATTTTTTTTTTTTATTAAAGTATACCCATTTCCGTAGCGGCCGGGCTCCGATTACCCATCGGGCTACCTGTCCGTGTCTGCAGGCGCGGCGTCCGCGGCGCTGCTGCAGCCCCTGCTGCTGCTGCACTACGAGGGCCGCCACCCGGTCACCCATCCCAACAACGACTACATCGACGCCGCCGATATTACCATCGTGGCTGCGCGCACGCATGCTGCTGCTAAGGTATGTTGATTAACTTCATTTTGACATGTGTTCTGATTTGATATTATAGTAAATCTTTTGTATACAGCCTGCCTGATATATTAACAAAATATTACTAAGACAAAAAAATAAATTATAACTTCAATTTAGAGTAATGTTATTTACGTTTGATTTGAAATTATTACAATAATAATTAATACTTCTCTAAATTAATTAACATTGCATGTCGGCAAAACGGAATATGGCTGAATTAAATGTGATATCAATATCATCTAATAAAATATTTGAATTTGAAAATGAATACGGATCGAGTAAATTTTTGCAATAAAAAAATGCCATTCAATGCTAAATACCAGTTTCCAAATTTACTTATCACTTTCTTTTCCTAAATATAACTTATCAACTGTATTTACTATTGACATCGAATATTTCGTAACTAGAAATTTAAAACTATCAGAATTATTTTATTTAAGTTTATGATTAGCAGCTTCAGTTATTCATAAACTTAAGTAACAAAAAATCCAATCCAAACGGAAATCAGCTATCATTTACTTTTCTTTAGGATTCTTTTTTAGCATTAGAATATATAGTACAGATTGAATAATATGTTTTCAGAACAAAGATGGCGTCCAGATCCAAGGGCTGGGGCTGACGTTCCAGCGCACGCAGTACGACGCGTGCTACGGCTCACCCGATGCGGATCGGATGTATGCACTCAGCGATGGACAGGTACTCTATTTATATTTATCATAATATATATGTATGGTACCTTCTATGTTAGTTTTTCGTATTAGAACTGGCAAATGGTGTCGCTTCTCGTATCACTCTCTAAACTTAAGACTAAATTTAACATCGGTTTCATTTTTTATATGGGATGACAAGAATAAACTGCTGGGAATTGAAAAAACATTCTTTTTTCTCTTTTATTTTATACAGAGTAACAGAGTACAGGTTTAGCCTATATATGAAGATATACTTTTTAATACAAGTAGTAGCGGATAAGTTTTACAATTTATTGACATTCCATGTAAAAGAGAAAAATAAAAATTCAATACTTAGAACAAGCATATTCATGAATTAAGGGTACCCATATTTTTCATATTTCCAGTACTTCAAAATATGAAATACTACTTATGGCTCAGTTACACTCGGTCGTTAGCCCACATCGGGTTGCACGAAAGACATTACCCAAATTCGGGCACCCGAAGCAATATTTCCACTGGTCTTCACTCAATTCATTTACACTTGTCGTGTACCCGAACTCCACTGGCACTGGTATTCGATATGATTTACCTTCAAATGTCGTCGACTCGAGAGGTCCCGGGTTCGAATCCCGGTGGGGGGCAGATGTTTGTGTGATGAATACGAGCATTTGTACTCCAGTCAAGGATGTTTATTGTCTATTTCTATACAAATATACTTATAAATGTAAATGTATTCTATCCGTTACCCTTGTATCCCATAACACAAGCCTTACAGTGCTCACTTTGGGGCTAGGCTAATCGGTGTGAGCGTTGGAAATATTTATTGATTATTAAAAGAAATGAACTTTTTGGAGTTTATTATTGGTAAATGCTTACGTGTAAGTAATGTGGTGTTGGTGATCGATGCAGATAACCATATCGGACATCGTGAACGTGAGCTCTCTTGGCGTGCTGGCCAGCTCGTTGACCTGGAACAGGGCGGGGGCCGAGCTCCAGGGCGCCGCCCTCACGCTGTGCCCCATGGAGATACGATCCGTGTTCCTACCGCGGGGGAAACGCTAGAATACAAACATCTCGTTTATTGACTACTCTACCCCTACCACTATAATGCGATTCGACTAACAATAGGACCGACAGGGCGCCATATTTATTTTTAGGGAATTAACAGCATTAATTTTTACATAAAAACTAGCTGACCCAGCGAACTTCGTACCGCCCTAAAAAAATAGGGGTTGTCCAGCGGACAAAATTGTGAATCTAAACCATTCTCAGATCCCCTTGAACACACACAAAAAATTTCGTCAAAATCGGTCCAGTCGTTTAAGAGAAGTTCAGTGACATACACACTCACAGAAGAATTATATATATAAAGATATAACATTAAGTTTAAACGATTGCCTAGGTAATTTCCACTATTATTTATCTCACATAGTGTCTAATAAACGCGAGAGAAAAAAGAAACAATTTTTGGTATCATAATGAACATAAAGAAAACAAAAAGAAATAAAAATGTTGTGCCTAAAACGACTTACAAATTAGTTTTTTAAATTTCAAAGAATTAAGATTAAATATATCGATGTGACTATAGAGTTGTATGATTTCATAGCTCGCACAATGTAGCGATTACTTACATAATTAGTCCGACCCGCCGGAATGCAAAACGTATCACGTGCTCGTAGATGTCATAGCTGTGAATTCAAACCAAACAGGTACAGTGAGCAAAAAAAAGTTTTATTTCATAAAACTTATTCGCTAAGATTAAGTGAGAAAACACAGCAAATTTTTTAATAAAATTTATTTAGTAAGATTGAGGAAAATAAACAACCGGTTTTTAATAATATTTATTTATTAAGACTGTGAGAAAAGCCATTGATCTGAATCTAGCTCTTCGATTCCGCTCATCTCTGCATTACCGCGGAGTAGTTATGAATAATCATGCACTATTACTAGGTCACATACGAACATGTATAAAAGATACATATAAACGAAACTTTAAGTCGAAGTTATGAACGCAACTTAAAGTGACATTTGATTCGCGATTTAGGTTATCAACCAGTCACACCCAAAGCTCAATAAATGAAAAAAAATATCAAACAATATTAATTATCAATATTTGTTATTGTTTGTTTACAAATGCTTGCTTTTTATTGTAAAAATAGCCGAGTGCTAAAAAAGGGTTCCAAGTGTTTTTTGCAAACCGTACTTTTCAAGCGACATTTGACAGATGGAGGTCATTGGCTTTCCTATTCTTATTTGAATCGCATTATAACCATTATCGAATTCGAATAGTTTGCAAACCGAAATGTCAATGTCAAATTTTGTATGGAATTTTAGACAGCAGCGGCACAAAGTACGTAAAGAGAACTAAAAATCAGTACACAATTGACTATGACATTTCGGACTCGCAAACGTTACGAATTCGATATTGGTTCGTGCTAGGGGTACTGGACCCTTACCATGAACCATTATCGAATTCGTATGCATAGTTGAATTCGATCTACATATACGTCAAATGCGTACTGAATTTTAGTTCTCCGTTACGTCCGTTGTCGCGCTGCTGTTCAAGTTTCCGTACAAAATTTGACAATGACATTTTGTACTCGCAAACTATTCGAATTCGATATTGGTTCGTGTTAAGCGTCCTGTCCCCGTAGCATGACCACTACAATGTACAGTATCACACGTTTTTTTATCGCGTCTAAACTCCATACTTATTTGCTTATTAAACGTGATGAAAACGAGTTAAATTAACTAAGCTAGGTAAATTTTGAGTTACCTGAGAAACTTTTAAATCGATTAATTAAAAGTAGGGTGGGCAGTTGTAAACAGTTAACTTTCCTACACCACCATACAGAAATATTTACAGATTTATTCCTTTTACAAAATATCTTATCTTATTTATCGCGAAACTTTGTAATAATTTATAATACCTACTATGAAATTATTATTCGGGAATAACTCGATCGTACATGCAGCGTACTGAGAAAGCGCGGGCGGATGGCACAGACAAGTGTAGACTGGTCGCCTGCCAGGCGCGTAATGAAGATAAATATTCAATAACTTTTGATTATAAACGTATTTTTTACTGTGTCCAGCTTTCGACAAAGGAATCCCGCTTTTTTCACTCAAAAAGCTCCAAAATCCCGACTTGGCAAAAAAAATCCGGCAACGCTGGCGTAGATCCTAATGGTAGTAAAACTACGATTTGTATCGATATATAACAATTGAAATTGTTAGGAATTCATAATTGTACAATAGGGATGATGACTAATTTTTTTTTCTTCGTTTATCAGGTAGATTATCAAAAAGTATTGGACACGTATTTTTTCTTTTTTCACATAATATAAACATTGCAGAGATATATTTGACGACCTCCGTGGTCGAGTGGTTTGTACGCCGGGTTTCATGGTGTCGCCGACTCGAGAGGTCCCAGGTTCGAATCCCGGTGGGGGCAGATGTTTGTGTGATGAATACGAGCATTTGTACTCCAGTCATGGATGTTTAATATGTATTTCTATATAAATATACTTATATATGTACAGTATATGTATTCTATCCGTTACCCTAGCATCCCATAACACAAGCCTTACAGTGCTTACTTTGGGGCTAGGCTAATTGGTGTGAGTGTTGGACATATTTATTTATTTATTTATATTGATTTGAAAAGTCGCATGACGTCACGTTTGAGTACACTTATAAGTGAAAATTCACTCAAAAGTGACGTCACGAGCCCCTACTCCCAAACTTTGACGCGCTATAACTTTGTCATTTTATGGTTGATTGCCCAAAGAAAAAATCCGTGTCCATTATTTTTTGATCATCTAACTGACGGACTAAATAGAATTTCGTTGTATGTATAATGTAATGTCTCCCAGGTAACTCAAAATTCATGCAGTATCGATATGTTAAGGTGGCTAGTAAAACAATGCTGTACTACTTTTGCTGACTACTAAATAACTAAGCTACATGAAGATACGTAGTGCCGCAAGGGCAACACTAGCCTATTGACTGTCTACGGGATAACTCTACTATAATTCCATCAGATACTATTATATTATTTTTATTATTATTATGTTTTACGGCTCCGGCCTGCAGACTGCTTGACAAATTCCACTTACCCTTACAAAATATCGATATACATAGTTATATTTTTATTTTATAAACATTTCAATGCCAAATGTTTAAATCTAAAGAAACATTTTACTAGAAAAAAATATCTTTAGATTTAAATATCGATATAATTTAAAGTAAATAATATTGACTTCCGAAAAACACAGATTTAGATCGAAGCTGTAGATTAAAAAGAGTGTTGCGCGGGCGCATACCTGATGTTTCTCAATTGGAGGGCGCGTGACAGTTGTCACATTACAATATTTTGCTCTCTTGGTGACGTGTATTCTGAAAACTTTTTCCGCATTTATTTAATGTTACATTTTTAAGAGATGTTAAATCATTGAGGGCTCTCGTCTTGTTCAGCAGGCTCTATATATCTACATCATGAAGAAAAACACAAAAACTGTTACAATAAACTCTAGAAAAATTGATTTCTAGTGAAAATTCTGTTATATAACGTATTCTTAAATAAAAAATGAAATGCAAAACCTGATATTTATATTTGTGTTTTGTGAATAAAATTTGTAGGTACTTAAAATAGTTCATCGAAATTATTTAGAAACTTGCCTTTTAGGGCATTGTGCTACTTTTATATCGTATTTTAATACGGGTTGATTGTTATCTAATTGATTCTAATGTTGAGATGTAACTAAGAGCTGTTCTTTGAAAATTTGTGGCAGCTGCTATAATTTGCGGTGCAAGTTCGGCAAGCGCCAATAAAGAAACGAATCCTAAGTTACGACACAAGGCATGCCGTCCCTCTCACATTTTCATCATCATCATCAGCTTATTAATGTCCCCACTGCTGGGGCACAGGCATTCCCTAAGGATGGAATAGGGAAATTGGGCCATGACGCACCACGCGGGCCAAGTGCGGATTGATGAGTGCTAACGACTGCAGATGCCGCCGGCACCAACTGCTTAACGTGCAATCCGAAGCACGGAGGAACTCTAGATAGAAATATTTTTGGTCACCCATCCAAAGACCGACCACTGCGAAAGTTGCTTAACTTCAACGATCGCAGCCGAACGCGCTAACCACCCGCGCCATCGAGCTCCTCGCATATTATTCCTGACAAAATGCGCGAGAGGGACGTCATGACTTGCGTCGTCATGGTCGATTCGTTTCTTTAAAGGTATCAGTTAAAATTGGTCAAAGTTGAGCATCAGACTGATTATTAGTCTTTTCATTTGCGCCTTTAGGCACACCGATTACTGCAATTTCGCTGAAGCGTTTCGCCAACTCAGTCTTACACTATAAACTTATATCGCATATGGGTATATCGGTTTGAAATTTCCTATATATGCATATTATATGCTGGGAGAGACCCAGCAGCTTAACTGCAATGGCGGTACGGCGGTGTCTGATAATATACAGATAGAGATGCAATTACAGATAGAGCGAGGAGTTATATTATTTCCGACGATATTGATATTAAATCTTGCTAGAATAAAATCTTGTCCAGGTACCAGACTCGAACTAGCTCCTCGCTTGAATCCGGTGTGGTATCTGAAACGACATTATTTTAGCTAAAACTAGCTTAAATTTTGAAAAGCAACCTGTACAATATTTAAAAGATTCCGCATTTTCCACTGTTTACAAATTATTTGGCAAATAGATTTAAATCCACAAGCGAAGAGGCATATTGTAGGTGTACGTACGTGTAGAATAAACTGTTCCTTTTTAATTTATACACTTGATGCATTTATATCGTATTATATATACTAATGTCAAAACTATTTATTATGTACAGCTCATATGGATGCCTTGAATTATCTTTTAAAGTTAATTTTCATGAAAGAAATACAACTTAAAAGTGAAAAACCGTATGAATATAAATAACTATACGTTTTGTTGTCATTTAAAACTGTAACTGTATGGTTATTCAGTTTTAGCGTTCAATCGTGTTTACTTTACTCTGCAAAATATTAAGCAAATACGCCAATAA